GACCTTCAGGTTCCGCGGCCAGCGCGTTACTATTGAGCCACTGGGTCAGAATCCAATGCTCCATATTTCCAAATTCTGTTAGCTCACGATATATAGCGCAACCGCCACCCAATGTCAACGCTGAGTATCTGAGTATATGCAGGTTAGAAAAGGATGTGTTGACTCATATGTAAAAATAACATGGATATAGGATAATGGAAACTGATGAAATTTTGCTGGATACGTTCACACTACTTAAAAATAAACTATCATCAGAGTGAGTGATAAATTGATAAAGTTAAAGAAGACAGGAGAAGTTGAATGGATATTACAAACCATGCTATTTTGAAATTGATCAAAGAAACTCTCCTCATTGCTGCTGTAAACATAATAACAGTTCACTGAGTCACTTGTGATTCAAAGACTTGATCAAACTTGACCTCTGTGTTCAAAAGGAAAACAGTTGTCAACCTAACTTCACCTGGATAGCTTAACTATGTAAAGCTTTTTGATTACAAAACCTCATAATATTACTCTCTTCTATGTTATATATTCTCATTTTTCCCTCTATGCTTGCACAAACGATGAGATCATTTGTTTCTCATTGATTTGAGAATATCATAGTTTGTAATTAACTTTAAACTTCCGTTGTCCTCTATGGTATATCCACTTTATTACTCAATCTATTAACACTTTGTTTTTAAATAGTGTTGAAAAAAAAATCATCGAAATTTCATCATTTTCCATTACCCTAAATCAACTGGTTGTATTTTATTAGTGTCATGAAGTTCCTATTGTAGTTGATATTAATCCAGGGAATAAAATTGTGTAAATTCTGCTGCTGTTATTCTTCTGGCTTGAATCAAGCTCATTGATCACAATTATTTCTTGTACCTTCGCTTCGTTTTACAGCAGTTACGAGCTTACTATGGTCACATTCTCTTCATTGTATTGATACTCTGGCCTTCCAATATGACTGTATCAAACGGCTTAAATGACAAGTTCGGGCACGTGTTTCCTATCAAGTTGAAGCTCTATACTTGCATCCCCGAAAAATTTCAAAGTTCACCTTAGCAACTTCTTCATTTCGGCTTGAATACTTCGACTAACCTTCATTTTTAAAATTTCTTCCACCACTTCATACACCCTTTTCTATTTTGGTATTAGTCTTTTCCCATCCAACCTCCCCTAGTTTACTAGTTGGTCCTAAGTCAGGATAAACAGGGAAGATTGTGCATAGAGCTAGCAACCCTACCCCGTAAAACCAATCCAATAGCTAAAGAAACTTCAAAGCACAAAGAAAAAATATTTTTAAAAAATTATTCCTCGCTTGAATCGGGGAGACCAAATGACGCGGACTGGTGTAAGCCTTCGGGAAGTCAACTGGCCGATATGTCTTCTCGATGAAAGTAAATATAAGCATAGGGACATGGAATCTCAGCACAATCTTTGAGGCTAGCAATGCTACCCAGATTGCAAAAGAGATGAGAAGGAAGAGCATAGAAGTGCTAGGAATCTGTAAGAGCAGATGGAATGGAAATGGACTCTACAAACTGTCAACTGGAGAGTCAATAATCTACTCCGATACTGTCACCCAGAAGACAATAACGAGCACACTCAGGGAGTGGCTATCATGATGTCCCCAACAGCATCGAAGGCTCTCATGCAGTGGAAACCAACCTCCTCCTGCAGGATTATGACAGCAAGATTCAAATCAAAAGGAAGGAAAGTCACAATCGTACAATGCCATGCTACGCACCTACAAATAATGCAGATCAAGAGAAAAAGGAGGAATTCTACAGACAACTGCAACCAGTAATGGACAAGACCCCACCCCAGTTGGCGACATCAAATTCATTCTAATGGGTGGGGTGACATGAATGCCAAACTCGGAGCAGACAACACAGGAAGAGAATTCATCCATCATGAGTCAAGGGCACTCAGCGAAATCATGGATGAGAATGGAGAACTGTTTGCAGATTTCTGTGCATTCAACGATTTGGTGATTGGAGGCAGTGTATTCAAGCACAAGGATATCCACAAAGCGACATGGATTTCACCAGACATCAGGATACACTAAAAATCAGATCGACTTCATCTCAATCTCAAAAAAGTGGAGACGCAGTCTACTTAACACAAGGTCAAGAAGAGGAGCAGATATAGGCTCAGACCACTATCTACTGCAAGGAACCTTCAAAATCAAATTAAAAGCCTTCAAAGAAGTTGGTGATAGACCACAGTTCAAGTTCAACACCCAGAAACTGAACTGAAGGACAAAACTACAAAGAAAATCTTCACGTCAGCCACCAGAACAAAATTAGAGAGAGACATTGAGTAACATCCCTGAAGAAACCTGTATGGAAGAACGCTGGAACTGTGTGAAAGAGATGTGGAAAGAAACCTGCATAACCGAGTATAGAATGTCAGTCAACTCTTTACCTCAACTTCATCGATTCTGAAAAGGCCTTCGACAGAGTCGACTGAGAAGTAATTTGGCAGGCAGCTGATTCAACAATACGGTTTTAGTGCCACAAACCTTTATCGAACTCATTCAACAGCTACATGGTATGTGATACTACATGCCAAGTGATTCACAACAGAAAGCTCACAGATGCCTTTGAAGTGAAGACAGGAGTAGGAAAAGGCTGTCTACTATCACCCTTCATCTTCCTGATTGTGATGGACTGGACCACGCAACAAACTGTCACGAGTAAGAATAGGGGCGTACGCTGGCTGGACCGATGAAAAAAGCCCAGAAGATTTGAGTTTCAGCCATGATGACTTATGTCTAATGTTGCACAAACTCGAAGACCTACAGGCGAAAACTAACAAGTTGGCAGGAGAGGCAGGACACGGCAGTAAAGACTGGACTTCCTTCAGGTGAACGCAGAGCAGACAGAGGTGATGGAGATACTCAACCAACATAACAACAACAACAACAACAACAACAATAAGCACCAATCATCATCAACACGAGAAATCTAAAGCAAGTTGTCTCTTCCACCCACCTACCTAAGCAGCATCGTCTCAACTACACGCCCCATAGGCACAGATCAGGATGTCAAAGCAACAATCGGAAAGACAACAAGACACACCTTCCTTCATCAATATGAAATCAGTGTGGAGATCTAGTACACTCCAATCAGCATAAAGCGTGAACAACATCCACATTTTCAATACCAATGTCAGTCAAGTGAGTCAGTGCTTCTATGTGATGGTTCAGAGAGTTTGCGCAGTACGAAAAGCATTCCCAACAAACTACACGCATACATGAACAGATGTCGCCTACGCTCACTCAATACTACTCAAGATCAGATGGCCAGAATAGAAAGAATAAGCAACAAGCAACTCACTCTGACTGGCTGGCTGGCTGGCTGGTTGACAACGAACCAACCGACCTACAACTTACCGCCTAACAAATATGCAATAGAAGAAATTGCAGATGGATTGGATTGGATTGGATTAGATTGGACACACGCTGAGAAGACCGTTTAGGGACATCACGTGTCAGGTTAGGCCAGGTCAGGTCAGGTCAGGCCAGACCCTCGAGTGGAACCCGTGTGTGAAACGACGAGTTGGGCATTGTAGCTGAGAGTGACATTGAGGAAGAAATGAAAGCTTATGGGCATTTGTGGAGCCAGTTTAAGCAGACTGTGGAGAAGAGATTGAAATGGTGACGTGAAACTGAGTCCCTGTGTTCCACTAGGAACCCAAAGGACAAATAATAACAAATTCTTTTATCGAATTATTTTTGCATGGTACTGTGAAGTGCGGTAACTTGGAACGATGCATTTGTGTGCGAGGTTCTACACTGATTCCGTCTGTCTCCTACATCTTTCTTTGGCCTTGAATGTTATGGTGTTCGAGAAAATGCGCAGATTACGGCAAAGAAATGCTTTTTTAGGCAATGCATTATTTTGATGTTGTGTTCTCTCTCGTGAAGGCTTCACTGTCATTCTAGACAACACTATCAGCACAAACTTAAGAAAAGAGGTGAGTGATAAGGTTTGCTCCACAAGTCGCTTACTAGGTTGCCCTGATGGCCTTGTTTGTGATTGATTGTTTCTGCCAAGGATTTGTCATTACTTCCATATTTACTCTCATTGGTTATCCTGCTGACTTTTTGTTTCTCATTGGTCGATAGATTGGATCAATGTCAATATGTCTGACTGACCTGAATACCAAGCTTGTAAAAATTATCTGGCATTCTTTAAAATTTCCTCTATCCAGGATTTCTATATTTTCCAAGTCAAATTTATGTCCGCAGCTGTCCGTATGCAATGGATATGAGTGAAGATATGTCATGATGCTGCACTGTCAGTTGATGTTTATATATACAAAGAAGGTGGGTGACCACCCTGTCCGATGTAGCGTTTTTCACACTTCCTGGTACACAGAAATGACTAAATAATCCCAATAGCTTGTATGTGGTGAGACATAACCATACTACTAGCATAATTTCCCTGATTAGTGCCTTATTTGGATGTGTAAGCTCACGGTTATCATTTAGTCTATTTCTAACTGCTTCCAGAGCCATTGTAGTGGATATATTGATGTAAAAGGGAGTTACATCAAAACGATTTTTTTCTCTCGCTGTTGCCCCTTTTTAGATCACCTAGTTTAATGGAAGCAGTGGCGATGGGTTCACCAATGCTGATTAGGTTCACTTAGGCTATTTAATCCATAAAAGCCTAGCTAAGACATAACAAGTAGGCCCGGCAACACAAAACAGGATAGGTGGGACAGCCTTACAAAATAGAAAACTTACCTAATTTGGTACAAGAAGATACTGACAAGTGATCTGTTATTTCACGCAGTAGGAAAGAGAATTACAACTATAGTAACTATGCTTCAAAGTTGTGAAGTTACCTGATATGAATACGGACAATAAATGTGGCGCAAACCGGTAATTAGTAGATAATACTGTTTCACTGTGTAGCACATCTAAGAAATAAGCTTATATGTGACAGTGAAATCTATCACCATACATTGCTCAAGTCACACTAACGGCTAGATATATTTCTCAGTAAACAATTTGCATGGATGATCATAAACATCGAGTAATCAACTCGTAATTATCGCCAAATTCACTGACAAAACAGAGAAGATAAAGACATACAGAGTAATCGAAACATTAACTATTTCCATTATTATCATTATCATCAATTGTCTCTTTGTTGATATTATTCTGTGAAGCTCTATTTAATTTACGCATTTTTTGACTTCGTATATGACGTTGAGTAATATTTTGCTGATGTAAATGCTTCTTATCTTCATATGCTTGTATCATTGAATCATTGGGTTTACACTTGAAAAACAACTTCAAAAGTTCTGTTCGTGGACTTGGAACTGAAGAAGAAGAAGAAGAAGAAGAAAGAGAATCAAATCAGTTCATAAGCAGAAAGGAATAAAATTATATAAAAAATTAACTTATGTCATCTAAGGACTATTTATAAGTTCTCAGTGAGTAGAATTTCTCAAAAAATGTTTTATATATTCCGAAGAAATGAGAATGATAAACAGTCAATCACGAGTGTCCCTTAACGCCTGTGTCTTCTCTCCACGTTCGTTAACATCCGAATAAGGCCCTCCTATGCTTTTAAGGTCACGACTTATATACGTTTTCTAAAAGGGGTCGATCTTCTCCTTGGATGTCATCTGATTGAATTGGGGTTTGTATATAACATTGTCCAGCTAGATGATAAAATATAGGGTCTTCTGAACGCATTGAGCAGAAATTTGTGCATGTTTGGCACGCGTTTCGCGCCCGTCAAATGTAAGATGATGCTCCAGGACTGGTCTGCTGTAAGTAACAGGCAGTGAAGTAGTGGAACACGCCGACCACTTCACTTACTTAAGAAGTTTCACCAGCCCGAACTGAGTGGTCGCTGCAGAAATCTAAGCCCGGATGCAGAAGGCCCCTTTGATATTTGTCAACTTGAGTCATCTATGGTGCCGACTGGTAAGATATCCGACAATCTATCAACGCACAAGTTTGCTATGCTTAAGTCCGTTCTATCCGGCTGTGAAAAATGGCTGTTAAAGGTGAAAGACATGAGGCAATCACAGGCATTTGACGACAGGTGTCTTCATAGCGTTGCTCACGTTTAGTGAAATCACCGTGTGACCAATGTAGACGTCAGAAAAGGGGGCTAGACAAAATAGGCAAGTCGATTGATGAGGTCGTGAACCACCATCGATTGAGATGGCTTGGATTATGTACTGTCCATACCAACCCACGGCCTATCTCGACGTGTTATACTAGGAGGAATCAAAAGAGTGTTCAGGATGACCTGACTAAGTCCTGGTATCAGTCGATGAAGTCTGCTGGTGTGAACTGTATTGGGAGATGTAAACTTCCTGGATCGGGTCTCGGAGATAACAAGAATCAGTGGTAGAAAACTCTTGGTGAAACGGTTGCGATTCGGTTTCAATCGGGCAGATGTATTCACTCTTTATCATCTCCTAAAGCTTGAATATTTGCACTAACCTTGATCTTAAAACTGCTTATTCTCTTACACTATTTTGTCTCCTTTGATATCACTTTTCTTAACCAGTTGTTGTTTGTATACTACAGTTAAGTATGGGAACTTGAAGCGATGGACAAGCTAGCGGGATTCGAGGTTGCCTTTGTCCGTCTATTTGCATGGACTAGTAGTCCACCTTCTTTCTGAGTCAGCTGGTGTGACATTAGTAGTAGTAGTAGTAGTAGTAGTAGTAGTAGTAGTAGTAGTAGTAGTAGTAGTAGTAGGCTTAACTCTCATAGAGTAACTAGGGGACAAACAATAGTCAAAAGAAGTTTCTGGTATTTGCCTTAGTTCGCTAGTACAATAAGACCAAACAGGAAACCTTAAACCAGGTTAACAACGACCGAACCATCAGATCAGGAATCTAACAATGGCAACGGGTCTTCACATACAAAAAATGTCCCTACCGATTGAACAATTGAAAGAAGTCATCTATAAGCAGAGCAGTACACTGATCTCAGGTCTTGTTCTGACCACCCTGAACACTTACAGTTTCCCCTAGTATGACACGTCGAGGTAGGCGATGGCTTGGTATGGATAGTATATATCCAAGCCATCTCAATCGATGATGGTTTACGACCTCATTAATCGACTTGCCTATTTTGCCTAGCACCCTTCGTGTGACCTCAACATTGTTCACACGATGATTTCGCTATACACAAGCAATGCCATGACGACAAATGTGATCAAAACCTTATTACCACCTAATATACTTCTATTTTTAACGGCCATGTCTGAGTCATTCAACAGGACAGGACAGGCATTGGTCGGAGGATGTATTGAAGTTTGATTTGAAGAACTTTAGTGATGTCGCGAAAGTAAGACTTCTACTACGCAAACTGCGAATCAAAAAGTATGAACACTATTGTAATTTTATTCTCCTAAAACACGCAACAGATTCATATTTCAATGAAACAGTCTTAACCTTAAGGAATATATTTGGAAAGTCTACCACTTTTTTCACGCGAAGTACAAGTGTTTCAAATTAACTGAAAACAGAGACGAGGATTATATTTCTTTACCTGTTTGCGTTTATATATATATAACAACAGGACTGAGATGCGCACCATACAACATAATATAATGAGACTAAACAAAACGTAAGGGTGAAGAGGAAGGAAAGAAGAGAATGAAAGGCGTAATGTGTGTTCTAAAGTGAAATGGGTTATTAAACAAACTGTTTCAAAGATACATTCAAAAAAGTATCGACTACTTTCACTCCTTCTCTTTCGATGATAGAAGCAGCAAGAAATTGAAGTATGCATGATCGCCACTGGTTTCTATTCTGGTCCAAGTGTGCTATCGTCTGCAACCACCTGAGTTTGATGACCTCTTGGACGCCATTCAGAAAGTCATGAGGCATTAAGAGATGCTAGAACTACACAACTATCCTTCATGCTACGACGTCATTTATACACTAACCACCACTCTGCTGTTCGTAACCAATCTCAAGACAAGTGAATAGCGGACGATATTCAAACAACTAGGACGACATTCGAAACCATGGAGGCTAGCATTTCGAGAATAAGTGTTATTTATATGGAGGAAATCGGTGTGAAGCCCTGCTGATTGCCTTCATCGAAATGACATCTGTCAAAGTGGATCGCGATAATGAGTCAACTAGCCTGGTGACCATCAGCGCTTAGGATTAGACAAGGTGAAGTTGGTTACCTAGGTCCAGGGCTTCCTGCCGATCGCCTCCAACCAACTAACATCTACTAATGTGCACCGCGATGCTGAGCTTCCTAGCTTGGTTGCCACATTGCAAATATGATCGATAGAATTCGATCTGCACTCAGGACTAGACAACATGAAATTGGTTGCACTCCCGTGACCAATCAATACATGGAAGTTGGTTACTCTCCAGTGACCAATTCATGTACTCAATAAATAAGGATGTCCATTGCAACCGGATACTAACCACCTGAGCTGAGAGTTAATTTCGCGATGTCTCCACCTGATTCTAAAAATCCTATGGCGATAAGAGTGATCGGAGATGCAGACTTTTCGTACATCCTCAGGTCAGAAATTTAGATTTGTAAGCATAGAACATAACTGCCAGCATCGACACCATCTACACACAGCTTTGTAAAGCGGGATTCACGTTACAAGGGTGGAAAAGGTGACGTTGACTGGAATATACCACTCTGGTTTTGGAATGAATCCACACAACTATGCAAGGCAATAAGCCTTTCGACAACTTTTAACTTTTCATCACCACTACCGATTACAGATACTCGCTCCTGTTAATCTTGGAAGACGTTTAGCATTTTAATAGTGCAACGCAAATACCATACTTACGGACATTGATCGCTAACTGACTCAATGCGATTTGGCGTAACATGTCTGTTATCGCATACCATCAAACGGAAATAGGAGTAGACACACACATTAGGCAAGATAGAAAAGTTACATACTACCATAAACTGACATACTTTATATCAAGGCACTGAGGTGACAAAAATGCCATGTGAATGAGGATGTTGGAAGGTATAAAGAACGATGAGATTAGGTATTTATGCATGTATAATGTTGCTTGTATTATCCCATGGTTTATTGAACCGAATTGATCAGCCTCTATCAGTATTCAAGCTTCTGTGCGGATGCTTCGATATTACCTGTATTTTCAATTTTGATATTATTGATGGCTAGTGGTTAGCGGGGGAATCCAGGACGAGCGTTTCGTCCTGGACTCCACTACTAGCCACTAGCCATTAATAATATTTATGCATGTGTCCACAGCGCTAGACGACTAACCTTCTGTCTTGTTGCTCCCAAAAGATGTTTATCAATGTGGCTGAGACGAGCAACTACAAACTACATAGGTCGAAACCATGTATTGTCCAAAAGGCCTTGATAGTCTTGCGAACTACGCGGTCTCTATATAATATAACACAACTACCTTAACCCTTGGTTACTCAATAAAATTTAATAACCATATCGACAGATTCACCTAGCATTCTAGACTACGACTGTTTACGTAGTTATTGCATCATATGAAGGCCATGTAGCACGAGAGTTTTTGAATACGCTTTGCGTGTAAACCTACCAAATGTGACAGGTGGAACGCTAAAGATGTAACGAGGGTTAACGTTAAAAACTACTATTTGCTCTTCTTTACTGGTTCTTTTTTCTAAACCAACTGATTCCCATGTTGGCTGAGAGATTGATCACAGTCCTGCATCCAGTTTCCTGTTTCCGGTCACACGCTGAATAGTTGGCGGTTTACAGCCAATACGATATATTTTTACGATAGTAAATTATACTACTTAAACACATGCAAGTAGCTTTGCACGCTGGTGAGAAAGACAAAATTATTGGTGCGAGGTTCTGGCGTGATTTTGTATGTCTGTCTACACCACTCTACACAGCTTAGACCAGTTGTGTCACAGAACCCCTGGATAGGTGCCATGAATTGGTTAGGTACTTTAAACTCTCACTCCCTATCCTTCGACTGGCAGCAATTGCAGACTAGTCCTGAACCATCATCTTACATTAAACATACAAAACGCTTGCAAAACATGCTCAGACTTTTTCTCAATGTGTTCAGAAGACTGTTTTTAAAATGTCTTTCCTTTCTGAAGTTTGTAGTGATGATTCTGTCTTAAATGACAATGAAAGCTTTGTTTCATATTTTAAACAAAGGATTGCATCAACAAACAACCACATACCAACTATTGTTGCCTTTAAAAGTATCACAGTATACTAACTGATCTGTAATCCTCTTGGTTTACACCCTTCATTTACACTGCAGTCTATACCAGAGAATCGTGAAGAGCAGTGAGTTGACTGGTAAAGATGCTGTTTGAGTTCGAGAACTTCAATAGTTAACTAATAATGCATTATATCACATATACACAAGTATTCACCTACTTGGGACCTTTGAGAGAATATCGTCTGACATGCAATCTATGCGTTGAGGCTGTAGAATAAAAAAATTAAAAGCGAGAAACTGATCAAATCAAGCATAATTGTTAAAAAACAACATATGTAGGTATGTGAGGCAAGACACCACAGCTTACACTTGGAATTATAGCTAAGGGACCCGTCCGCTGGATATACCTGCATCCCAGTGAGTGATGATGTCCCCATTGAGAGATTGGACCCAGCAACCATCGTTTTAAACGTCACTGATGCACGAGAGTCAATTCTTGTGCAATGAATTGCCGTTGTATTTTTATACTTATAATCTACCGTTGCTATACTGGGTCGAATCCCTCGATCTGGGTTGGTAGATGGGTTCTTATGCAGATGTCTTGATACTGCTCGATTACTCATCATGTAGTTATCTGCTAACAGTGAAATCGAGGTTTCTTAGAGAAAAGAGTAATAAATCTGCTGTCAAACCTACAAGTGATTTGCAGTCTGAATTTATAGACTCTGACTACAGGTTGGGTACTTAGACAAATAAACTGCATACATGTATGTTGACAGCAGGAAATAAATGAAGTAGTCAAAAGAAACAACTTTTAAAAAGTGCAGAAGATTGAGAATTTATGTGTAGAATAAGAATAACATGAGGAGATAATATAATTGTGATATTTTTCCGTGTATTGCTTCAGATTACGTCACCGAAGATCCTAAACATTGACCTTTATTATCGCAGACGCTCATGTTAGATAGTCTATCAAATGCAACATGAAGTTTCAAGAATAGTCAACAATGGCGATTGAGGCCTTCTTCACTAACTAAAGGATTTGCATGATTTCTAATTGACCTATTAATGACGAAATCTCAAATCCGATAACAACACTTGTTATGTACCTGGCAAAATGCGACATTTCTAGCACCAGTGAGATATTCGATTACGTAACGAATGACTTGTGTACTGAACAGCAGTCCACTTTGTCTTAGCGTACAGTTGTATAGGATGGCTGTTGAAATCAGAAAGTAATCAAACGTTACAATATCTTCATCATACGTGTCGACATACATAAGTGTTCACTTGTGATAGAACTACAACATGAGCAACATTCAGATTGAGCGTAGAGAAATAAGGAAACAAGACAAGTCAATCTAAGAAGTTGTGAACCTACACAGGCTGAAGTCAATGAGATACGTGTTGCGGAGTTCAAATAATCACCTATCTTTATGTGTCATGTAATTCGAAGTAGGATTACGTTGAACAAAAACTATGAATGGTCATACCAAAGCATAACAACCATCCTTAGATTCTTACAATATCAGTCAGAGTAACACAGAGAGATGTCAGATATCGACTGTGCCACGACAGCTTCCATGAAAGCTTCTACGTCAATGCGATCCAGGATTGTACGTATAAGCTATCTATGGTTAAATGAATATTGATATCTCGTGTTGTTAACAGAACTTCAAGCTAGGGAATGTATGCATTATGAATCTGATTATACAAACAGGTTTACCCTTCTTTTTAGTTATTTAATAGGGGAAAACGTACTAACTGGAAGGAAAAGATAGTCTGAAGAACAATTCAACACCCGTATAATAATGTTAATATAAACCACTACTGAGAAAAAACACTTACATCCTCCCATTTCAGGGAGCACAATGGTTCATAAGCATTGTATTGTACCGTTAGCTTCCAAGAGAATAAACGAACACCAACCGAAGTAGAACACATCCCAATAATTAAACTATCTGTAATACAATCGTCATTTGCTTTTGCATTAGAGAATAAAACCATGTCAATGATAGGTAAGTTATCCGGTGTTGAAATGAAACTTCGTGATCCCCAATGTACAGCTTCATTGTCTTTTGAAATATGCAGATAAAATGCTGATAGTACCGGGTGGCTAAAAGGTTTTTTCAATAAAAACAACAATAAAAGCGTGATGAAAATGCCTAGTTCAAATTAAACACCAAATTAGCGAAAGATGCTACTGGTGAACAACTTAGGTAGTTAGATACCGATCAAGCTGACCTGTAGTATTTTGCCAAACAGTCAGCCAGATCAGAGTGATCGAAACACCGGATGACCGTTTTGCTCGTTTGGGGCCGCTTTCATCAGCAATGTACCCGCAAAAATCCAGCTCATAGAGCAGAATTAGTTTAGACCACCTGAATCTTGCTGGCTGACTTATATGGATCGGTACACCTAAAATAGAATGATCAATTTGCAGATGATCTAGGAGTCGAAATACAACACATCAGCCTAAGTGGTTTCTAACTACTCAAGTTGTTCAGTAGTCGTATATTTCGCTGGTTCATGACACTTTAGTGTCAAAGATCACATCTTTTGATCTCTGCTGAGTGGTTCACAGTGGAAGCAGCAGCAGCTCAGTGAATTAGGAAGATTTCTACCAATCACTGGGTCACGGGTTCGAGCCCCGCTTCATTTACCTAGGTTTGGGCAGCCAGGTAGTATCATTAACTCCCATACAATAGGTGTGGCTCGTTCCCTACTGCGCCGATGTGCACAAGGCAGCGGAATGCGTTTCGGTTCCAGTGAAAGCCCTGTTAACACCAGAGTTAGGTAGCAGTTGAAAAACTACTCAACTGTGAGAAAAATGTCAACGTGGACCGTCCAATCTGTGAATCACTTGCAAATTGATTATTCTAAACACCAAATTGTGTGTAAGTAGGTGTGTAAAATAACAAATTTTAATACCTAAAGATATCAATTATCAGTGTAGCTAAGAAATTCGAGTTTAAACACAACAACACCACTAGATGCTTATTTGCAACATGCCATACAATTCACAGTGTTTGTCAAATTTGTTCATAATTTAAATATCATCATTGTGATAACTGGATGACTTTAAAGGTCACCCTAGTAACTGATGAGACAGAGAATCATGTTTCTCTATTCTATGAAAAATTGTCTTCTCAGCTAAAATACCGCAACCTGATTGGTTGTTTCGGCAGATGTTAGGGTAGCCTTTAAAGTTGCCTTAATAATTACAAGACAGATTTTGAAGCGAATATACATTTTCGATAAATTCTACATTTACAAACTATTCAGCATAGTCTTCATTTGATACCAGTATGGTTAATTGAATTCGGGTATATGAATTAGAAGATAACAGTAAAGGTGACAGTAACAAAACAAAATCTCGGAAAGTTTATATATTCTCAGTAGTCAGTCAATCTTTTTAGGTGTCTGAGTAGTGAAGTGTGTGTGTGTGTGTGCAGACATAAAGGGGAATAAAATTATTGTCACATAAGCATTACTAATTATGAAACTAAGGGCGAAAATTAAAATGATAATGATAAGAATACAAACAGAAGTAATATTTACATTTATCCAGGTGACCAGGAAGAAACTTATTGTAATTGCATTTGGGTTAAAGTTGAAGATTATAGGAAGGAAAGGTGACGAATAAACATCTGAATACATAAATTAGGTTTGAAATTTTTAATTGTTATGATTTCTGCTAGGCTTAGCGACCGGGCTTGCACAAACTTTGAGTACTGTGATGAGACTAAGTAAATAACAGTGAATACTGAGGTTTTGTCAATCTTATGCTGACTATATACTAGATGGGGAAGTATTGAGCTTATATTCCTTTTCCTAACCACGCTGGATAGTGTTCGATGAAACGATGATGGACTTACCGGGTCGTACTACCTATGTAATTCTCTCCACAGGAGCAGTTAAATTTATAAATGCACACAGATGTGGTCAGGTTTGGAAGCCTATCCTTAAATCGCATTGGCATTAAACAGCGAGTAGCAAATTTCAAACAGTGTGGCGGCAAAGGACTTTTTGTATCAGATATTTGAGTTTCAGTGTGTGTTTCTACATCTGTATCTCCTTTGAACTCTACAGTTAGATATAATCGTTTCTTCGGCACCATTTGAAGGTGCTTTTCTTCAGCTGTTTTTATTGTTACAGTATTTAGGAACTTTTCAGGATAGCGATTCTTGTAAAAGGACTTCTCTATTATTCTTAATTCATCTTTCAAAGTATCAGCTGTGAAAATTTTACTGACTCGAAACATCAGTGTACGGATTAAATTCCTTTTGTATATAAGAGGGACAAATGATCGGAAATGTATATACTGACCAACCCATGATTCCTTATGATAAATACTGCGTCTGGTACTGTCACCTGTTCGCCTTGATGGCAAAACAGCCAGAAATGGTAGACATCCGTCTTTCTCAGTTTCACATGTGAACTTGGTTTCTGGATGAACACTGCTGAATGTATCGAGAAGAATGTTAGGATTAGTATTATTCTTTGTACAGAATGAAAATATCATCCATGCATCTACAATAGGAAAGTTTATTTATCGTGTTACGCAGTGGTCCACTTTTCAATTTCTCCATAAACATGTCAGTCAGAAGAGAACTTAATGGTGAACCTAATGCCACACCTTCTATCTAACCGTAAATTTCTTTGTTAAATTGAAACTATACATTCATCGTACAACGAAGGAGCAGCTCTCATAAGGTTGCAAGTGGTATACATACTTCCATCTTGTTATCTAACAGTGAACCACAAATAAAATCAGTTGTTTTCAGAAGAGGAACATTAGTAAACGAGGAAGTAACATCCATATAAATCATTGTTTCCTTACTAATGTTCTTGTTTTCGACTTTCGAAATAAATTCAAGAAATTCGTTTATGCTTGCAAGATGAATTGAAATAATCCCACAAGGATGTAAATATCCATAGAATTATCTGCCTTATCTACATCAGACACTATGCCAAACAGTATAGGTTTCCTCGAACAGAAAGGAGTCACTCACACCTGGTAACTAAAAAATACACATACTATATACATGCAGAATAATCGACAATTGTTTTTCCAGTTCTATGAATTCCGTTAACACAGTGTGAATGAGCCAACTGTAACATTCTAAATGAATTACAAAAAGCTGCAATCTAGAAGAGGATCACAACTATGCCCTTTTGTATACAGCAAGCAACTCACAGCTACAGTAAAGTACTCATACGAGAAATATTCAAGCACAATTAACTGTCTAGCAGTTACAAGGGTATGAGAATTATTACTGAGCCTTCCAATCCTTTCGCTCAAAGTGAAATGCACTAAATATCCAAAGTAACATAAACAGCTTCTGGGATAATCAACTAAGTTTACATATTTCCTAAAAAATGCGTTATGCTAGAATAAAAAAAACTACATTAGTTACATTAGCCGTTGCTAAGGTGACTTTACGACTCAGCAACAATCAAAATGCTGACCATGGACCATCAGTAGGTCATTTCCACCCACCTCTATACACCCTGTTGAATGACCTGTTTATCTCGGTTTACTAAAGCTGTTGCATCAAGTGTTAACGTTCTCACTTGATGAATTGTGTCATGCTTATCACCCTGCGTACTTCAGTTGCCCATTTACTTAACTGATTGTATCGTTTCCATGTTCCGTCACACAGGTCAGTCACATTTTGCGTGGATTTCATGTATTTCAATTTAGTTAGTTGCTGCATAAGGACTTCATTTGTAGAATTAGAGGACAAGCCTTTCTGGTGCTTTATAACTCCGTGCCCCTACAGACTGAAGTGTTGTTTGAAACTTCTCCCTTTCACTTTGCATTCTATCCCATGTATGCATCGATGAATACAGTTTTTCACTTCTCTATCTTCTCTTCAATTGTTTGCGCAGGCTTTTAAATCTGTGGTTCGTATTATAACCTATCGTTATTGTAAAAAGCCCCATACCACCATCCTTTGCGCTTAAACTGTACTCGGGTTTAAAGACCTTCCCATTTCTTGACTCATTGCATTAATCACATTATAAGCATAAAATCTACAGTGGATATTATTAAGAGGTAAGTGTTTTACCTAACGACAGTCATCTCGTACCACTCTGAAGAGATAATATCGCTTCAGAACTGGATTACACATGTGCATATGATGTGAACAACACAATCGATTTTGTGTACTTAGCTATTTTTCACATTGTTCTTTAAACGTGAAAATCGCACACGATTTAGTCACCATTTAGAAAGACGATTTCTACGACTACCTTTAATGACTGGCATAATCCTCAATGAAAGTTTAGATTCTGCCAGTTTGACCCATTATCTACTTCAGTTTATATCTAGCCATCCACAAAATATCTTCATGTCGTTCATCCGAATATCACCGGTCGACTATTACCACAGTTACTTACTTGTAACCAAAAACTGAAGCAATGTATAACTACGCTTGTAGTCACTGAATGAATGATTTACTTACTTCCGCTTATTAAAATTATAGGTTAAGTCGAAACTAACTATTTCAGGAAACCTGTGACATACGATTATTTTCTCGTTGATGCTGAAATACACTGTAGACACCTGCTGACATTCACCCTCATGTCAAGCGATCACCTTTACCAACATTCCTCAGTTTAATGAACATTTACTCTTGAGGTCTTCAATCTGCCGAATAAAAGTTGTTGGAGAAGACATTACTCGGTATAGTTTTATCCCTTAGATTCTTCATGTGACTAACCACCTTTGACTCCTCTTCATATAACCTTCTACATCATAGATCTCTCATCAGATATTCATGATCATATGGGTGGTTGTGCACTATTTTCACATCAAAGAAAATGAATCGATTATGTTCAACATAAAACTTGTACGCTAATGTAAAATGGCACCCATAAGGATTCTCAACTTATCTCTTCAGATGTTGATTAGTACTTTCAGACTTGTTTTAATTATCAAGATTAGTGAAAAACCATCTGCTGCAAGACTAACCAAGCTTACATTTCTTGTCAACGCTTGTCCAGAATCTATAAAGCTATGGAACTCAATATGTAAATCACGCTTTTATACAGTTTCCCAGTTGAATAACAATGAACAATAAAACAGACTGCCAACATCTATCTAAATCAACTCCTAAAACAATCAGATAAAACATGTGAACCTAGACGAAGGTGACGAAAGCAACAATGCAGGCAGCATAAACACAGTTCTAATGTCAAATCAGTGTCAAACAGAACAAGAACAATATAATACCTGTATAAAATGACATGAACTCAATCATATAAGATGAATGAATATATTGTAACTAAATTGAAATACATGAAATCCACGCAAAATGTGACTGATCTGTGTGACGGAACATGGAAACGATACAATCAGTTAAGTAAATGGGCAACTGAAGTACGCAGGGTGATAAGCATGACACAATTCATCAAGTGAGAACGTTAACACTTGATGCAACAGCTTTAGTAAACCGAGATAAACAGGTCATTCAACAGGGTGTATAGAGGTGGGTGGAAATGACCTACTGATGGTCCATGGTCAGTATTTTGATTGATTATTGAATCATAACGCAGATTTTAATTGAACTTAGCTTTAGTGGGTGGGAAAGGTTAGAAACGAGCAGTCAGGTTGCAGGTGGTGTCTGTCAAAGTTATCTTCTGACGTCTGTCTACATAAGCTAATGGTGAAGTATAATGAAGACCATTTGTAGAGTTGGATTGCTTGCAAGAAGTCTAAATTGTGAATGTGGTGTTGTAATGGATTGTGTACTTAACATGACAAGAGAGATGGTCCCATTTTTCATTGTCTTAGCATTTCCAAGAAGCAATCTCCGAGAAAATTATCGTTTTTTAAAGGATCTCATCTAAATCTTCAACAGGTAATGTTTTTCGTCCTTCACTGGGTTGTTTGAACTTCTATAATATCAGCGAGAGTGAATTCTGTGCAGTTCAGTGATATCAGTGCTACACAGATATTTACTCCAAAGTAATCTGCGGGCTGGATATGAACTTTGATGATGTAAATAATTTGGTGGGAAGGATCAATATCTTGTTCACAAACGTAAATATAACTGAGGAAAATAGCAAAAGGAAACAACTGGTTAAAAAATTACAGTGGTTTAGAGAGATAACTTAGCCATTAGGTCATGGGTCCGAGCCCCACTCCACCTACCGAGGTTTTGGCAGCCAGATAGTATCACTAGCCTTCACACAACAAGTGTGGCACATTGCTTACTGCACAGATGTACGAAAGGTTGCTGAGTAAGTTTCACTTTTTTTCGACATACCGGTATCTCAAATGAGTTGCCGGTATTAATTTACTGTTCACAAATAGCGCCTTGTTGATCCGACAACTGGAGTGTATAGAAATAATGTTGCAAATATGTGGAGTTGTCTTAGAAAGTTCCTCAGACCTTTATAACGGGATCACAGAGGGATGTGACATGATCTCATATGGATGAGTGGCAATAAAAACAATGGTATGGTTTCAAAGATCAAAAACCTAGTGAAAATCAAGACATCTTGATTTTTCAAGTGAAACATTTATGATTTATAAATAAAATACCATTTTTCTTATTAATCACGATGTCTTCTGTATGCTCTATTCCGGTTGGCCAGTACACATCCGAATATGATTGGTTGTGACTAAAGTTTAGTTGAATTATATACTCAGTGGTTAAGTACGGTCGGAATTTTTAAACATCTGAAAGGAATCCTGAAGTATACATACACCCGGTGCTGGTTATTGATTCAGTGAACAAAGATAGTGAAACCTATAAAAACTCCAAGAGAAGTTATTTTTCTTCTGATCTTACAGTTGAACTGCGTAGATGAGGCTGAAAACAATCCACTATGAACCCTGAACCTAGGTTTCCATCTTTTTGATACTCATCACGAAGGGAGAATGAAACTCCCTACAAAATCCGAACCCGAGTGGCATAGTGCTTCAGTGACAAACATCACCAGCGAGTTATGTCGATCACAACTGAAACTCCGTAGAAGTGGATTGAATACACTGATTGACCGCATCGCAAACTTGATCGATAGAATTCGATCAACACTCAACAATAGATAGAACAATGATTGTCCCTCTCTAGTGAACATCCAACGTACGATAATCACTTAACTCCCAGCCACCGCCACTACATATTTTTAAACAGATATCCATATGGTTAATAACATAAATGTTTTTGAATGATTATCCTATTTTATGCGCGTGTAACCGATCGTTAGGCGCAGTTTAGTGTACATTAAATTACAATAATTACTTGTGGAGTTGTGGCTTGCTAGTTAAAGAACTCTATTTACCACTAATGGGTCACAGATTCTAATACAGCTCTGTTTATCGAGGTCTGAACAGTTAGGTAAGAAAACAAAGTTTCACAAAATAGTATGACTTAGCACCTAGTAAATGAATGTGTACATAGTGGTTGAGTCACTTTTACTGTACTTGATTTTCCGAATCCGATTTGTTTGTTATTCCGTGATTTTCAATAGAATCACAACCCCAGACGGTTTCAGAATCCTGAATAAGGCGTCTAAAGTTTATCAACTACACAGCAAAGTTGACGGTGTATGGATGAAGCTTCTCAGTCTGCCAGATTATATCGGTTGATCATAAAGAAGCAAAACACAAAAAAGCAGATGAAAACATTATGAAATGTCGACTTACGAAAAAAAGGAACAGACAATTACATTGCTCTGAGTAACGTATAACCTAGAAACCACAGCTTCTGCACTATCGGATTCAGAAACTGATGAAGGTGATGGTAATTCATCTACTGATACATGGTAAGACGACAAACATTCACCTGATACACAATTCCAAACTTTAAAATCCCCATCCTAAATGAGAGAAAATAAAAATGCAGGTAAATGGAAAGACATCTAAATAATAGCCTCCTAAGCACTGAAATTAGACTTAACAGATCAGATCAAGCGTTTGAGACTGATCTGAAAAGCAACAACCTGATAAAATCTGTCTACCTAATCTTTACAGACCAAAGGTATCAACTTCTTGATCATTGAAAGCTGAAAATCTTGTGGTAAAGCGTTTTGACAGACATCTGTCTAACTTTTGGTCTTACTTGGTGGCTAGCAGTGGAATTTGGAGCTATGGCTCAGTGGTTTAGGGAGATGACTTATACCATTGGGTCACAGGTTCCAGTCTTGCCCAACCTGCCAAGGTCTAGACAGCTAGGTAGTATCACTAGCCCTCACACATCTAGGGTGGCTCCTTACCTACTGCATAGATGTACACAAGGTGGTTGAGTGCATTTTCAATCTTTTTTCCAATCCAGTAGTGGAATCACGGATCCGCGTTTCATCTTATTTGGAACTCATCAGATGGATACATCCGCACCCCAGTGGGTGGGTGCGACTCGAATGCAGCACCCAACTGCTTCAAACGCTAAAACAATACCCACTAGGCCACTAAGGCATGAGACTCACCTCTTGTGCAAGGGGTATCAGTTGTTATTCACTGATATTTTTAGTTTCCCATCGCTATACTCGATCAAATTGCTCGACCTCTTGATTCCACAGTTAGCCACTCACCAAGTAAAACTATCCGATAATAAATATTCAAACAGCATCAAGGCATCTTCATAGGAGCCCATCTACCAACAGAGGTCAGGCGATTCGATCCAGTACAGTAGCGGAAAGTGACAAGTATGAATGCACTTGTTTGCTTTATTGTGCTACAGATACCATAAGTAAATAAATGGTAGGAATAAATTATGCTTGGAATAATAGTCAGTGCATTATATATGTTCACTTGTTACGGTTAAGATAGACATTATTCCAAAAAATTCTGGGGCAACATTTTGTTTTGGTTAGTTAGCAAATAGGCAAACAAATAGGTAAAATCAACGTAAAACCTCGCACAGAAGTGCATCAGTTGAACTTTCAACATTTCACAGCAGTATAGGATAGGAAGGACTGATATTAAAGTAGACAAAAGTGTATGAAGAGAAAGGGAATATAAAACTTAAGGTTAGTCAAAACATTATTACGTTATGAGGTATCAAAGAGTGAATACATCTGCACCACTATGACTCATTTTCAGACATATCACCAAGGGTTCTAAACCATTGAATCCTATCGTCTCGGGAACCCCTGCCAGGTAGTCTGCATCTGTCCACTGAGAAGTGTGACAAGTTGATTCTGTCTATCTGTCTACCAGTGATATAGCCGATACAATAAAAATAGCATTTTTATGCTGTAGTTAACCCAAGAATTGAACAGACTGATTATATATAGACAAAAGGATTTGAGGTAATAAAAGGCTTATCTTTTAACTTACCCCTCCAGTTGAAATTAAATACTGACTGTTGGGAATAAATGCCAGCTGAGAAACGAATCTAGAGTTTTTAAACATTAAAACACAACACACTGGAAACATACGATGTATGCCCAAGGCAGAATGATTGAATAACATACGGTTGAGAAAACCGACTAATGCGTATCTTTTCATCGCGATCACAAGATGCCAAGTACAATTCATCATCTGAAATAGCCTAGATTACACATGAAAATAGTGTAGAATAATTGTTAAGCTGCATTGTTCAAAACAGAACAAATCTCGTGATCAGAAGCAAATATAATGTAACATTCATTGCTTACAGCAGACCGATTTCTTTCCAAGGAAGTGAGAAGAATACTGCGTCACTAGAGGATGTTTACCCAAACTTTTAAAAATGAGTAAGGCCTTATACAGAACTGCTATCTGAGATTACAACAAACACTAGTACACATAAAAAAATATCCAATCCCGTATTCGCGTTCAACTTTCTCGTAAACACAGATGACAATGACGGTTTTTACTACAGACTTCCCACGAACCGATCTACCACCCAGTTTATATCACCCAAACAGCAGAGGCGTTATATGATGTTGATAGAATACAGCGTCTCAAAAAACGTTTGCCGTCCACTACACACCTAAAAAAAATGTAAAGTGGCGTTGAAGGACTGATTTACACGTACATCTAGTTTTTTGATTGGTGGTAGAAATGGTTGAGTTCACAAATCATCTCATTTAATTAAAGAGTTGCATAATCAATGACATGCTACTGTCCAAAGAAATTCCTAAATGGATGAGAAAGACTGGCTGGGAATCTTCCAATCTACACAGTTTACAGAGTTGATGGGTCATGCAACCGTCCATCAATGGATAAGTACGATTTATATCCGTCTTATCTGGCCCGAAAAACCAATTATTAACAACATATCTCAAATAATGAGTGCGATTTACAGTAACAAGTAAAAGCGACTCCCATTTCTGAATCTCATGCACTAGTATTTGACACTAAGCAGTCGAAAAGACTTCGGCCCTTCAATACTTCTCCATTCAGTTAAGACATTTTTTCTAATTAGTAGTAAAATGATCGCCATCATTTAAAACTGTACAGTATCAACTACCTTTCTTGAACCGATTCAAGCGACATCCTGCTCGGAACTTTGGAGAATCACAGCTTAAAATAAGAGAATTTCAGTTCACTTCTTCTCTAACCTACTACATAAATGTATGTTCGAAACAATGAAAATAGATAGTGCCCTAAAACTACTGCGAATGGTTCTCAAACAACGTCTGAAGACACCAACAGATTAACAGGATGCATATCCAAACTTTACATTGCATCACAGTACTATTAAACTTTCCTTCAACATGAAAATGTGGTATGAAGCCATTAAGAGATATATCGCAAAAATTAACACACTACAACCATGAAGCTAAGATTTCTAAAACATAAAAATGGTTCGAAGACGAAGTGTAGTTATGGAATGTAGATTTACAATACTTCTGTCACCGTTTCAGAAAAAAATTAATCTACACCATGAAAGACACTACCTTCCATCCTAAACACCTTCAGCGATTCAGTCACTTATACACCGTACTCTACTTAGATTCACTATGCACCTACAGAGGCTAAATCAGAAGCGCCGTGTCATAGACTGATTACATAGCCAAGCTTTGTAGTTAGTCTTAGTGTCAACAAACAATATCATGGGGTACTGTATGTAAAATGTGTCAGTGACCGGTGCTGATATTGTAGGATGTTTTAATTTGCTTAGTACAATTCTTGCTATTCCGTAAAACATGCTACTAAACTTAGTCAATGATGACTTGGTGATTTCATTGAATACCGGCAAGACACTATGCTGGACAACGAAGACCTAAAGCAGAAATTCACGAACAAAAGCACTGTGTAAATTCCTTTTGTCCGGGTAAGGTAATTTTCTCAATCGAACCAATATTATTCCAGATGGATATACGATACTCTAGCCCTTATAGTACAACCCACGAGAAGGAATAGAAGGTACAGAATAATAATTATTATAATAGTGGTGTCTACATACATTAACTTTTTCGTATTATCGTCGCTGGTTATGAGCAATCTTACATGAGGTATTTGACATACATTTAAGATACCTAGCGAATGGTTATTAGGAAGCCCACACATCTTTATGAAACTCAAAACAAGAATCAAAGATTCCATCGATTGTTACTATTTTGACCTATCAAGCCCAAGATACTTTCCAACCTAACCTTAATCCATCTGAAATAGCGTATTGTAGTAAACAATGACTAATTATGCATTGCATCATCAACAGATCCCCTTATTAACACTATGTCTACGACTCAGCTGACTCGGCGATTTCCTAATGTGACTAACACTATACTTTGAAACCAGCTGCCCCTGACTAATCTTAGCTTCAGTGTTTTAGAGCTGAAGAGTAGCACATGACCCACGACAGAGTAGTACACTCAGTCCCTGAAAATAAATTCGAATTCCTAGCCACTGTAGATGGCGTGTTATTAAATGCCAAACAAGTTTCAAGTTACCGTTCCCAACTGGATTTTTGCAGCTTCATCCGAATTAATCGATGCGAAAAGACTCAATCCGACTGGCTCCAACTGCAATTCGAATTTAGGACGACTGAGTCTTAGTATCGATCATGAACAAGAGTGGGTGGTGTAACGAATGGCAAAGGCATCGACACTAAATGGAACTCAGTCGTTAATTAGGTTTATCACAAAAACTGACTTAAAAAGATGCTGGCAAGAAAAATCAAGTACCTAACAACACCTTAGGATCTACAGCAGGAACCGTAGGTGAAGCGCTGCGGGACAGTTTAACTGGTTTACAGCTACACTTCAGTTCCCTATCGGTCATGGTTGAGTCACTTGGTAGAGTGAGCGAATTAACGGTAAATTTATAGGCCTAAGATGTAGTCCTCCTATGCAGAGCTAAACTAAGGCACTATGAAAAAGTGGGATCTTTTTGCAAAAATAAGAATGAACAACTCGACTAACGTAGTATGCAAGATCCTGGGGCGACAATTACTTTACATCCAACTAAAACTTCAGAACAACAACTGTGATACAAGTATGAGCAACAAATTCTGCTTTAAACGTCATCCAGTAAATACTGTATCACTGTGTCACTCACTACGTTACATCAAATAAACAACCCAATATGCAATTACACATTATTACAGTGCCAAGTTTCACTTCTGCATTAATTAAGACCCCCCGCTTGAAATCATACAATTTCGGTAAGAGCTGCTGGAAATTTATCATCTAAAGTGAAGACAACTAGTGCTATCTGTCAGGGACGTTCACACACACACCAATCCTGTTTAACTCCATCGTAGATGTACTGATGATATAGCCTGACTTAATTCAAGCCTCTTAGGGATTAATTAGTTGTCTAGAATTTTTGATTTACTTAGAGTACAGAAAAACGTCTCAGGCGACAACAAAATGCAGAATCTCTTAAATGCTTCGAGTAAAATATGTCAGTCAGTTGGCATAAACATTGAAACCCGCATATCAGTACATCATAATAAGGTAGAAAGGCAAGACAGACAAATAAGAACAAAATGCAATCAAAAGTCGTGGTAAGTCATCAAAAGAGGTGGCAAAACAAACAAAATAACTTGATTACTAGTATAAAGATAGTGTGCTAATGAACTCACGTAACCGTGATAGAGTGCACCACGCCACCATGAGTCCAAAAACACCGATTCACGTCGTCACGAGGTCCCAAGAGTGGAGGTGAAATGTCTCAGACCAGAAGTCAGACTTCATGAATTGATACTTAATAGTTCGACTGCCTTTTACTTTCTTATGATCTGAACCTTCTTCGGTTAATATGTCACGTTAAGGTTCAAATCGACTTAACACGAGTTAATACATGTCCCCGCCACCTATCGAAAAACGGTAGGTCAACTTATCCTCATATACATCTATGAGATAGTAGCTGGAAGTGGAAGGCATTTGGAGATATTATTTGGGTGTTGGCACCACAAATGAGTGAAGACGTCGCAAAGTAAACTGCGATCTGATCAAGTCCAAACAACCGATAAACTATAATAAAAATATTGAAGCACGAAGGGACGATCACTGTGAACAAAAAACAAGTTAGTGATGCGCTAGTTAAGTATGTCAAACAGTTGGAAGTAATGTCTATTGTTCGTGACACGCTTAGAGTGCTAGCCTCTAAAAGTGGACGTCTCAGTAGCTGATCAATTATGCTTATTTAAAACCACCTGACATTCCTAATGAATTATGTAGTTCTTCCAATGATGAAAACTCCTAGCTAATACTCATGCGATAGCTCTTCCCTTGAATCCTTAGTGCATATTGTGAACACAACCACCAACACTAGGTTTATTGCCTTTAGAGCAGTAACAGATAAGTGTCCCCTTGTATTCTTGTGTTACCACTCTACACTAGTAAAACATCACACTATTTACACTTTTAAGTATATCAAAAATCCCCTTCGACGGAAAAAGCTCTCAATAAATATTGAGATTTACGGACATCAGAAAAGTGGAAGTTCAAAACAGTGTAAACAAAAACTGCTAATGCGACGGTCACGTGCAAACTGAAAGGACTGATGAATTACGTAATAACGGTCATCCTAAATTAAATCACAAAAAACGAATTTGAAATTCTGGTTGTACAAGTTTAGGACTATCCTCCCGCTCTTTCATACGAGAAGGAATATTCACATCCAAATAATCGTCAGTACTTTTTTCCGAAACCCACCAGCAACGTTCAGTGGCTTCTACTTCGGATGATTAGTACCAGTCCAAGTTATTGTCATTACCGTACACCAAAATTGACATTTCAGCGTTCACGATTGAGATAATAACTAAATTGACCATTGTAATCACGTGGTTTACAGTCAAGACTAGTGAGAATCGGTGAGAACAATAGTAAAATAACCACTCACCAGATGGCTCAGTAGGGATAGATGACCGCAAATGCAAGTTAAGTCCTTTTCAGAAATAATTCGCCCCTCACTGATAAAAAGTTTGTATATATCTCCCGACTTGTCACCAATCAATAGTGAACCCTCACTCGGAGAGAACAAAAGACATGAAACTTGTTTATGCAGCTTCCTAAATAACTCAAAATAAATATCCATGTTACTTTCAGCTGCGAAAGCAATAACCACTGGTCATTCTTGCGAGCATACAAATACAGCTGTTTTGCACTATCAACTACAGAAAGGTAAAATCCACTAGTTGAAACTGTGAAGAACGAAATAGTTCCTGTTTCCTTGCCGCAAGCTGATTCACTACAATACTTAGATGATAACAAACAAGTGGTACGTGATCACTTCTGGTAGAACAGTTTCTTCTATTAAGCCATTACTAAAAGTTACATGTCATTTTCCGAACAAACCTAAAACTCCAATTTACAACAGAACGTTTAAGGGATAAATATAACTCTCTGCAAGCCGACAACATGCTGACCCCAAGGTCACACTAACAGTGTTTCCGAGGTTGGGTACTCAAGACAATATTGTTTGAAACTGTAAAACAACTTCTGTCATGCGTCTAAAAACATTCAACATGAATAGTAAAGTGGTAAAAACTTGTATTTTTTTATCTATATCTTCTTGTTTTTGAGTCTCGTTTATTTCAAACTTCGAATGTCGTGTTGTAGAATTAGTAAACGATGATTCCTTGAGTTCTATGTCCGTCTTCTTGGAGAACGTTCTAGGTTTGGAATAGTCACAATTATGTTCCTGTCTCCGAAAAACGTGAAAGCACGGACATAATCGATGATTAGTTAATCTGGTCTCAGGGTAGTATCACTCCTCCTGATCTGTAGGTGACGGAAAGCTTCTTGAGCAAAGTCCGTCGGTGCCACAGGACTCTAGATGTGCATCTAACCTCCTTTTGAAGGTATAAGGAGATGGTGCCCCAACAGCTTCCCAAATCAGGAAGTTCCACAGTTTACGAACTTTAGCTGCAAACGAGTTAGCATGGATCTGTGTAGTGCTCTCTTAACAGGAAACTCACAAGGTGTCTTATCTGGCTGAAGCTTAAAAGGAATCCGTCAGGATGAATGAGATTATGGGCAATGTGATACATCACGATCATACCCCACTGGTTTTCCAGGGTTGTGCCGGTTGCAAATGCAAGTGAGAGATCCACGTAAGGTTTGCACCGCAACCCAATCACTTTCTTCGTGGTTTTTCTCTGGACCTGTTCTATGATGGCTATGTCCTTCTTCAAGTATAGGGACGCCACGGGTAATTTTTTTCAAGATGGCGAGTCCATGAACCGTGGTGAATAACGTCGAAGTTAGACTGTCTGAAGTTTCCGTAAAGGAACCTCAAGACTCCACAGGCCTCGTACGCTGCGAGGTGAGAGTGGCTCCTAGTATGTCCCTCAAAGTGACTCCTGATTCTTGTTCCATGTTAGAGTGACGGATATTTATTTCACCTAGAGAGTAAGGACTGGAACTGTTTCTGTATTTGCCACCTGCACTTTTTCGGTAACAAAATTTCGGATTTTCCTAAGGTCCTCTGGGGGAACCGAAATATCCGCTGGCGCCTGTATTTCCCTGCAAATCTTTAGATCATTGGTATATAGTGGTGAATAGGAACTGGAGGATTCTAGCAGGTCACTGATGAAAGTAAGAAACAGCGATGGACCCAGAATAGAACCCTGAGGCACACCACTCGGCGTCGGGAACCAGTCAGATAAAGAGGAGCCAAATCTAACTGACCGAAACCACCTAACGGGCTTAGATACTGTAAACTCATCTATTCTCACATCACCACAAACCGGCTCGTTTCTAACACAAACGTCATATCGCTTATGGATACACTACGAGGAAATGCACAAAACGAAGCAGTCATGGCCGACAATGTTGGCAAGGTTTTAGGGGTGTGTGTTACAATTCCGCAACGCTTGATCAACCCTACTTAATTTGATGTGCTCTTATACCTACCTAACTAGTGATAACAAAACACAAATCAAAAGAACTGATACGCAATGTATCTGAAAGAGCTATGTATTTAATTAAAGTAAATGTAATAATGAATGAAGAAAAAGTTTAGTCAACTTATCTGGTTGACATGGCTGAACTAGGGACTCGGGGTAAGTGCTCGGTAACCAGAACAATAGAGCGCAAAATGGCGTCCAAGCCTGCTCGAATGCATGCTCGTTGAAACAAAACTTAGATCCCCCCAAGCATCCGGGGGCGAACTAGAGATTTATTCAGCTGATTTAATTTAAACTATTTATTTTAGCCCTAGTTATATTTTGGTGTCAGGAAGGTGCACTACAAGGTCATTGGCTATGGGAACCTGTTTACGTCATTGCTCATTGACGCACTTCCCTGTCTATGAAAGCACCTGACCTTCGAACAACAGCCTTACTCACTAAACTGATGATGTCACTTATAGCTGAATCATGCCCATCTAGCATCCTAGACACAGACTCGTACATAGATGAATGCACTCTATCTCACCAACCGAGATTATAAACGTGATAGTTGCTGCCTCATTTATTTATACAGTCAAGTTGCAGCAAATAAAGCTGAAGATAAAACATTGAGTGCAGCGCTTGACTCACCGTGGGTCACCTTACGTGACGGTACAATAAGAAATTCTCGTAAGCTGTGTATATCGAGCACTGTGCTCAATAAAAGAGACGGATACGCTTCTAGCTAAATCATTGCCTCATGCTTCTCATATAGTAGGAATTTTAAATTGATTGCTGGCGACTTCAGTCTTCCCGAAACTAACTGAAAAGCTGGTTGTGGTCCGCGGCTTTTCGATGAGATACCTACTGTGATAAGTATCTAGGAATGGAAGCAACGCTTTCAGGCACCTCGTGGTGGCGACACGCTGGACTTATTTGTCATGGCACTACTTTAGTAACTACTTGTGTCGGTGGCGAGTCTTCCAGTAGTGATCACAAAGTGGCATTCTGTTGCCAACCTCTACCAGCACTCGAAACGTGTAACAGGGAAGTCTTACAGGATAATGAATATCATAGCTATGAAGATGCGGAGTGAAAGCCGCTCACAAAGCGTCTTAGTTTCTTCTCACTGAATGACCATTTTGCTACCGACTTGCTGACAACCATGGTATCCCCTTTTTACTGGAATACTATGCCAAGTTTGGATACTGTTTCTCCTGTGAAGACACGGAAACTTTGTAACAACCACCCAGAAGACACTCCATCCTCATACCACCAAAAGCCCAGATGACTGTGGAAACTATGCCATTCTACTAAGGATTTCTCCTCATTTCACTTAATCTATTAAACACTTTGATCAGTCAAAACCCAGTAGGCATACAGGAAGCCCTTGGAGTCAGCTTCAAAATGTGTAGTCACTTCCGAAGAAACGCCTTCATCAACGAGAGATATGCAGTACTTGCTCCACAACGAGGCATTCCCCAGTGGCACACTTAAGATTCTCGAACTACCTGACAACTGGTTTGCAAATTTCGGTTGCAAAACGCATGCTTCTGCCTCCCATCAAGCTGGCTGAAGTCGCTGCCAAATGATCTCACTGGAGTAGCTAAAACCAACTCAGTTCTGCCCAGTCTTAGATACACCACAAGTGGAGTTGTGCAGGGTAGCGCTCTAGGGCCTTTTTTATTTATTATCTAAATTACCAGAGTCTGCAATTGCTTAGCCATTGGTAAAGCGACTCTATACGCCAATGACACTAAGACTGCAGTTCGACGTGAACTAAGTGGTTTCTTTCAGATGTGTTGACATCCCTCTGCAGTTCAACATCAGTGAATGCGGAAGGACCAGCATCAGTGGTAGTACCCTTGGCTTAGTACCTGAATTATCCGGACAACAGCTACCAAAACTCAATTGTCTCAGGCCTAGGGTTAAAATATTCTAGTGACTTGAATTTCTCTGAACAGGCAGTGTGCAGTAAGACTAAATCATGTGTGCTCCTGAGATATGTCATTCGCAACTTCTTTGATGCTGAATCAAGAGATCTGCTCTGCGGGGTTTGCATCCGTCCAGTTTTAAAGACTGCTCATCTGTTCCCAGCTACCTCTCATAAGCGTTGAACTTAAGAGCTAAGGCGTTCAACGCAACCTCCCATGAGGAACACTAGGAAATGACTGAAGTGTAGACTGCTTCTCTTGGTGTGACAGACCAGGGCTAGAACACTTCTGGAAGAGACAACTTAAACTGAACCTTATATTTTATTATAGGGTAGTCTATAGGCACCTGCACTTTTTTGGGCAGGAAATTAAAGCAGTTGGGTCGTCTACTCACCACACACAAAACCACAAATCATTGTCTGAACAGCCAGTCTGTGAAGTACTTTCCTCCTCGATGAATTTTCCCACATATAAAAAAAGCCTCCCGAAGAAATACGAGCAACAAGTTCACCACCCATCTTCCGCTCCTCACGTGATAATCTGCACATAAACATTGGGTTGATCACCCACTTAGCCACTATCTGTACGTTCTGGGCTAACGAGAGTTTACTGAGACCGAAACCCGTATGTTCGCTCAGCTCTTAGGGATTTTCGAATGTGTATGCAAGCCGTCTGAATTTCAGTACGATTGCTCATTGTGGGTAGCTGGAGAAGCAAAAAGTCTGAAGGGATGGGAAATTTAAAACATGCAACAAATATAATTAAAACAAGATTTACTGAATTCATAAATTTCAGTAGGACTAGTCAGGTTTTTACTGTGCATGTATAATTTTATATACTGTTGTTCAGCAAAGGAACACACACATAATATGGACATTGACTGTGGCACGACAACACGGATTGAATCACTTAGTTACATCAGACTGATCTAAGATTTGGTTGGTGAAGGATAACAAATTATGATAAAAAATAAAAGGACTGGGAATAGATAACATCATTTCGAAAGGAATAATTAGTAGCCGACTAGATAGCTTGATACAAGGTGCGCACTAATAGGACACGAAAACAAAAATACTGGCTATAGTAGTGGCAATACGAGTGAGAATATGAATCCTGAAGAGATTAAAAACCGCGTCATTTTGAAACAAGGTAAGTGAGCGCCTATTAAGAAGCTTGGTAACAGTATAAAACTAAAGGAGGCCAGGGTAGTAGCTGGATGATGACGCTGACGATAACGATGGAGATGAGTCATTTGACTAGCAAGAGGAAAAGTTCAAGGGGACACGATAGTGCAGCAGAACGATGGTAAAGAGGTGGATATGCGAAGCATAGGGGGAAATAAATTGGAAAAATAAGATGTTTATAATAAAAACCCTCTCTTCTGCAAGTGGCTTCGCATGTGTAATCGTTTCTGTTTCCTTCTTTCAGCACCTTGTTGAGGGCATCTTACGTTACATTTCAATCAAGTAATCTCAACTCACTAGAAGTATTTGGTCCATGGTATCTAGAAGTTTCGGAAAAAGCCTTTGAAGTAGACCATACCGGACGTTCCGCTGTTTCTTGAATATTTTCGCGATTAAAGCAGCTGTGCATCAATGGTCTTTCAACATCGGAGTGTGGAGCTGTTCCTTCAATTATTGATCTGATCGGTTACATGCCAATCATGCCTCTTGAATAAAGTTGTATAGTTCAGTATTAAACTTACCTGAAGTTTATATATCATCCACCACCATTTGGACAGTAACTTGTACTTGCTGAGTCGTCGGCTCACCCTTTTGTCTTCCTTGTTTCCCTTCCAGATTCTTGTGGCCGCCACTAAACTTACACTGCTTTACGTGCCGTCTTCAACGACGTACCTAACTGCCAACGTGCCTACAGGATAGACGAAAACGTTTTAACAGCTGGTCGTTGTAAACTCCTCCAATGTATATTTCTGTGCATAACACCGTCTGTAAAATCTTCACTACTGTCAACCGCTATACTGGAAGAACCGGAAACACCTGAATCCACAGACTCGCCTCCATCCTGTTCACAAGAATACTTACTGATACACCAAACAGGAAGCACCAGCTTGGCGACATCTTAAGCTTAATTTTCATCAGAATTAAAACATATACTTACTGGTACTGGTACTTGATATTTGGAGTAATCGAAAGATTACCACAGGCCAGTTGTCCAACTATTCCTTGTACTGAATTCCGAGTACTGAAAAATACTGGATAATGGAAGTATTGCGGGAATTTGACTCCTTCCTTATAGACCAATAACAATGCAGACGCAAACTTGCGGGCGGTCATTACAAATGGTTTTTCCTTGATCATTTTGAAATCTGTTTATTCTGTTTCCATTTTCAAATTCCACACAGTCTTGTCTTCATCCTAAAAATTGTTATTTATCCGTTGTTCTTTGCAAGCAAATGTAAGTACATTCCTTGTGCATACTGAGTAGGCTCATTTTCTTGTCTTTCAGATTTTCTCCTCGCCATCTCCAACGTCCTACTCAGGCTGGACAAAACCCTACCAACAGTATAGTGTAGCACTGCTTTCTAGTTTTTCGGGCTGTATTCAGGTTACAAATATACATTGTGGTTCATCGCTCGGGACAACCAATTGAAACTTAAATTTTTGCTTGATTTCTGACGCTACTCGTTAAATGCCTGGGACTGTTTGTTTGTTTCTGCCACTCGTTGATAGACTGAAAGAGCTTAGTAGCTTTTTCGCCAAAGGGAACATACAGGTTTTTGTTTCGTTAGTTTAATTTCTTGCTTAGGACATTCAAAGCCTTGTTATTCCTGTGGTTGATAACATATTTGGTTATTCTGATGGAGTGGAAGGATGGGGTTTACATTCTTTAAAGGAACCTGATAATCCACATCTCTTTGGTTGTATTCGCGAATTTCTTTCACCAAATGGAAGGTTCCTGGAGGTTTTGTCTAGCAAGCTAACGCTTGAATTTCCGTTATGTAAATATGATTTCCCGCTCTGGCTACTGTCGGTAAGCAGAACTGGATATTTTACAGGCAAATTTGTTGCAGGCAACTTCCCAGAATGCTGTTCGCTCAGGTGATGGCAAACATCCTCAGACTCATTTATCTCTCAGTGAGTTTCTCCTTTTTTTTCGAGTAAAGGTTTAGATGCTTTCAGCTACTACATGTACGCTTTCATGTGCTATACTACGTACCCAAAGTGGAAACAGGTGATTATCTGTCTGATTGAATAACTTCTTCAGAACATTTTATTATTTGACTTCGAGAACAGCTTGTATTTTGCCTTGTACAATGACTACCTTAGTTTTTACCTGTATACTGATCCAATGACAGTTAATGTCATGGCATCCAGGTTACAGCTTTCAAGGACTGGGCTTCAAGTACCTGCATATCAGAGGTATTCAACGCTTTTGTCTTACTGAACTTTAGAAATTATTTTGGTGAATCTGTCATTCAGTTTCCAAGTGAATCCATAGAAGGCTGCTTCTCGGAGTTCCGATTGTTTTGGCAGACGGAATCGATATTGCAAGTAAGGTGTATGAATCCTTTTTTATATCGCAGGCTATTTGTGAATTTCTGCTCTCTTGGAGGGTGCCCGAACTTCCGAAGAGCATTGTTGGATCGCCTAACAACCCTACTGGTATGGTTTCGTTATCTGCTCCCCAAAGCCATGTTGAAGTATGTGATCATGATAATCTTTTGAAAAATTTCCAGTTGAGTAGTTTATGCTGTTAAAGCGAAACTTTTTCCAGCATGATCTCAAACTTGTTTATGATGCCTCAGCGACTTAAGCACTCGACTTTCAAACAATGGGTCCTGAGTCCAAACTTCGCTTTCTTCGTTCTGGGCAACCTTGCAGTATCATTAGCTCACATAAGAGCTGTTCGTAACCTAGCCGATAAATATGGATCGAGCCAAGTTTCACTCATCTGCACTATTACGTAACCATATTTGCCAACATATTCCATCCCAGTGTGTTTCAGCTCCAGTTGTTATATAACAACAGTATGACTCAATTCGGCAGATATTTATATGCTAAGCTGCGAGCCACATCTTTTAGAAGGCTTATAATACTACCTGATTGCTCAGACCGAAGTAAGTAGAATAGGATTCAAACTCTGGACTCATTGCTTGATAACTGAGCCAACAAGGTACGTCTGCACTGGGTAGTTACCTACATCAAATTTCGAGCCGTATAGAATTTCCCAGCAAACCTTATCTTTCAAGTGGTTTCCCGATTGCACATGCCAGTTTTTCTTATGCTCATCAACCCTGTTACCATTAGGCAGTGGGGTATTCGCAACAGCCTCTGCAGAACTTTGTTTTCAGAGCGGCAATCCCATCGCTGAATTAGTAGGGATTCATTGTATCAGATGGTTTCTGAAATCCTCCTTGTTAAAACGGGTTTCAGAAGAACGCACATGTTATAGGTTGCTACCAATCAAGGGTTTGCTCATTCAATTTGTTTTCAATTAAAGAAAAAATAGGGTGTATTTTAATATTCTATTGTGAGGACGCAAGCTCTTTTTAATATGATAGCGTTTGAGTTTCAATATTTCCCACTACTTGGTCTATTTAATGTCAAGATGGTTATCTTTACATGCTTAGTAGTATTCTGTCGAAGTATTTATTATACTCAGTGGTATTCTCTTTGATCTTAGTTGGTCTATATGTAACCACCGAGCTGTATATTCCAAACCTTGTTATCCTAGAAGATGTAACCTAACAAGCATCACTAGGTCGAAAAATAAATATGACTTACAGGAATATTTACACAAGGTGATTTTGAGTTGCACATGAGTCTATCCTGTTTAACTGTATGACTCTGGGATGTCATGTGACGAATTAGTAATTAGCTTCCTTAACATATCAAAATTTCTAGGGTTTTTAATTATTCAGACAGGTTTCATGCATGGATTAAACCGTCATTCTGAAGCAATACTATGTCTGCCGATGAAAAACTTATTAACATTCTTTACTGAAGTCTATCAGTAATGTGACTTCAGAAAACCTGTTTAACAAACTTATTATCATTAAAGCGTTTCTACTTGAAGTCATTTGTGTAAGAATTTTAATTGAATTATCATGTAAGGCGATGATAACCAGTAGTTTTTACCAGGGTTTTCAGATGTTGATATTACTGTTCCACTCTATACACAAACATGAATAAGTCTCCAAAACCAACTTTCCAGCGATTCATCTCTTCAGAAATACTATGTCTAGCAATCTTGCTGGGAGAAAACTTCAACCGCATCCCATGTCTTACAAATATTTTGGTAAAAGTATTCGGGATTGGTTTCTCGCCTTCCAACAATGCAACTGATACCGTGTTTTGCGGTAGAGTGAGATAATCGCTTTACCACCTTGAAGAGTTACACTATTCCATGTGCTAGTAGCTTCAGCGATACGACGAACTCATCTACCCTTCACCAAGTTACACTTCCTGTGACCCAGTTAAATACCTAAGTAAACCAACCTGGAACATTTCAGTTCTTTCGTTTCCCTGTGGTTGGTTTGTAACCATACCTTTGAGAGTTTCTTAGCATCCACTTCCAATATCGCGACGATACCATTAAAATAGCTTACGTTTCCTTACATAACTCACAACGACAGTCAGACTTCATTGGTTGACCTTCTGTTTGATCTGACTTAATCATACTTCAGCTAACACAGCACACTGAACTTCTGAATTTTTTCCTGGTCTACTTATTTATTCTCCTTTTTGTCAATCATAATATCACTCTATTGTTCATTTTTCTCTTTTTGTACTATTTCAGATTTCGGTAACTTAAACCATTTAACTTCTACATTGTGTTCTACATTGATCTGACTGTTTGTGTGGTCTTATGTAGAGTTTTGAAATGCATTCATGAATCATTTCATTTCAATCTTTAAACACTAACTTGGTGCAACATAAGCCCGAAAAATGCTAAACAGTATTTGTTGAAAGTGGACTATATTTGTAACTTTATGCATTCGATCATTGATGCCTTCAAAGTGTCACTACCTTTTAGTAGATCTGCAGAGTAAACAGGGTGTATGTCTGGCCTATATTGTTAGGGAAAAAAAGTAAATTAATCGAGGTAATTTCAGCTAATCTGGTTAGGAAGTGTAATGAAAATGTATCCATTCCAGTGTGCAGTAGCAGTGCGAACAAACCAGGAGGTGAATAGGCTAGGATATCGCTACAGTTCATAGAGTCTGTGATTATGTTTAAGCTATATAAATAAATATGGACCATCTGGCTTGGGTCTTCAAGAGGTTAAAAGTCTGTGGTTGTACACCCTCAAGGATCTGGCTTAAACTTAATATCAAGCGTTCCCTCTTCAGCTTCAACTCCGTATAAGCCTTTATCTTTATTGCACAGCTATTGTTCCTATTGCAGTGTTTTTGAGTTGGAGGTGGTTTTCTTTATTCAGAACTGTCATTTGTTTCACCTTATTTTATTTACAGCTGTGGGTAATCGTGAGTACGGGTATTAATTCCTAAAAATCGGTTAATAAACGTTTTTTCACTAATATTCACTGCATTTTGCATCTTGTACTCATCTGCAAATATAGCATACTCTTCAGTTTCATCATATATCAACGTTTTACTACATACATTGACTGGCTTGTTGAGTCTGTTTGATTAACTTCAATTTTGCCATTTATCAGGAATCTTGGTCAAAATTTACTAGCATGTACACACATTAAAATGTGCACTGAAACCGCATATTGTTTATTATATTGTAAACACATTGAGTTATATGGTTAGTACTCATGGACCAATGTGTATTATTTTACAAGAGCTTACATCTTATCTTATTCGTTTGACTTTGTGACCATAATTACTTCTTTCTTATTCGAGAAGTGGTATTAAATTTTGTAAGCTGCCATATTGAAATACCATATTTTCGAAATCAAGTATTTTTGTTAAGTATACATGTTTCAAGACAATGGTGGATAAAGTTCCTTATGGTTTTGAGGAACATCTTTCGTATAAACTCAAAGTTTCTGTGAACTCTATACAACCTTAGATTATTGTCTTCTGATTGTGGAACATGGTGAGCACAATAATACTCTATTTTTCTTGTGCATAAATCCTTACTGCTTACAGAAGTACCATTCGATCCCAAGAATTACAATACAGACGAAATGGAGATTAAATGCATTGAGTTATTGCTAATAATTATTTCACCAATGACAGCTAGATGGTAGTGAAGATGTTTATAGGATAGATGCTAGTTCACTTGACCGGTCTAAATCAGTATCTTAGCGGTTTATGATCTAAACTACCAACCAGGTTTCCGTAAGCTGGCTATTATCTTCGAGTATCATATGGTATAGCTCATAGTACAGCACTGGCTTGTATGTTACTATAGTTCCTTAGAGTTAAACTATGAATTGGTTTTCACATGTGGTATACTAATGGCTATCACACTGAACACTATCTATGGATTCCGTTGTTAGTTAGTTTGACTATTTCAGCACAAAGTTAATAAAGGAAGATTTGGAATCCAGTTACGTTGTCTATTCACTTCAAAGATATTTTTGTGTTTTCAATTACTTCACGTCTCTTAATCAAGATCTTCGTCGTTCGTATTCAGTTAATTTCGAATCGAATTAATACAAAAAAGTGAGGTTGAATGTTCCCTATTCTGCTTTTGTGTTGGTTCGCGTAGCAAATGCTAGTAATACTAAATCTTCCTATATAAAGCTAAAGTTTCTACTTCTTTGTTTGCTTAATAGTATGTGTGCATGCATTGGTTCAATCTGTCTTCTTCAAAGAAAAAAAATTATATCGCCTAAATTCGCTTACACGGAAGACTTGTCTGTTGTTTGTCTGGTTACTTGTGTTCGCAACGTGTGTTCTGTGTTTTTCTAATTCTCTTCTTTTTGTTACTGTTTCTTATAATTTGTTTGAAATCAGCTTTCAACTAAACCAACTGTCTGTCAGGTATTCCTCGTACGATCTTTTCTCAAACATTTCTATTTTTCACTGTTTAATAATACAAGTCCAAGTAATTTTCAAATTCCTGATCAGCAAATGATATGGAGTAAATTTCTCAGTTATCGCAGGTAAGCTTAATTTCATCAGAGTACACTTGTCATGGTTTTTATGGTGGAAGGATATTAAAAAAGTCTTTGTTATTGTGTTTTCCTCAATGTCATAGTTACAATTGTCATTTGTTGGTATGGAATGTTACAATATGACGTAGCTTACCAGAGAAAATATTACGTAATGTTAAATTGGTCATTCAAAATTTTTTAAATCCGTTCATGTTCCATCCATCCAAATCAACATAGGACCAGACATTACTGCATAATGGTCCGAGTTGCCACACCTAATATCACTACATCAAGTAAAAAGGCAGTCAAGTGGAAGATGAAGAAAAGAAACTTCAGTCAAAAGAAACATAATGTACTTAAAAGAGAGAAAGGAAGAATGAGAAAATGGTGAAATTCGGTATAGCATCGTTAAGATGAGGATAATGTGTGTGGGGATACATATGCGCCAGTGACATCGGTTCTGAGCCATATCGCCACCTAGAGTCAGTCTCTCACCACTGGTTTCTCTTGTCTCGCAGACCTCAACCGGCTAATCTGCATCATCGCACATGGCTCAAACCGACAGTCAAACACTTCATACATTCATTTGATCCCATGTTTTAGTCTGACCGCCCACAGCCTTTTTCCAGCCTGAACCTACTTCCGCAAACATTGTGTGGTGTAATGAGGCGAGGCAATCGGTGACTACGCATACACGTAACACATGTCCCAGCCAACCATCTCAGTCCATGAAGGTTCACAACAGCATCATCAACTGACTTACCTCTTATCCCTAAAACTCTACTCCTGACTTCTGCGTTACTCATGTGGTGACACCATGGAATAAGGCCTATACTACGGAGGCAACGGTGGTCAAACACCTGAAGCCTTCTCATGTCTTCCACCTTCAGTAGTCATGTTTCACAGCCATACATTAGAACAGGGTGAACTGCTGTGTAGTACATGCGACTCTTAATAGACAATCATAGCGGCGCCACAGGTGGCGTCAGTTGGCGAAAGCCAGCCGAGCCTTTTGTATTCGTGCAGAGATGTCATCGGCCGCTGACTCACCAGTGCAGGGCTGATCCTACTTTCCAGGTAGGTGAGGTGGTTGACACACTCAACCACTTCACTCTCTATTGTTAGCCGAGACACCGTTGAAGATCAATCCTGGAGCAAAAATTTGCATTTTTGTGGTAAGAAACGCACCCCAAACATTCTCAAATTGCCACTTAAAGTGTCCAGAAGACTGCATCTTGTCAGCGTCTTCACCTAACAGGACTGTGTCATCTGCATATTCTAGGTTTGACGAAAATTCTTTTGCGATTGGGTCAACCTCTGTGTAGTCGGTGACGAGAGGGAGACCTCTGTAAGAATATCTATGATAAAATTGAATAAGAATAGAGAGAGTGGGCAGCCTTGACGGAAACCACTCGATGAGCATAGCTCCTCGGACATTTCACCATAAACTCTAACATGCCTACAAGTGTTCGAGTAGAGAGCCTTCAATAAGGTGATGTACTTACTCGGCACGCCTTTCAGTGAGAGACATTGTCATAAGACTTGTCGATCAACGGAGTCAAATGCCGGCTTCAGGTCGAGAAATACAGCTAGTGTCGGGCGTCTGTAAGCATGCCTATGTTCCAGGACCTGGCGCAGTGTGAATATTTGGTCGACACATCCACGGCCAGGTCTAAAGCCTGCCTGCCTGGTTTTCTCGGGCTTGCTGTTCCCGAGCTTCACTCAGGCGTTGAAGAATTATAGTATCTAGGATCCTGGACACTATGTTCGTGGAGCTGATCCTTCTGTTGTTATCACAAGAGGACTTCTTGCCTTACTTGAAAACTGGGATAATCAGTGATTTAGACCAATCAGAGGGGATAGTATTTGATTTCCATATACTAGTTAACACTTTCGTTAATCTGGCTAAGAGCACTTGACCACCATCCTGATATATCTCTGGAGTTAGTTCGTCTGGTCCTACTGCCCTTCCTCGTTTCAGGTTACCTACTACTTTCTCGACTTCTGCAAGTGTTGAAGGGCCTATCTCAATGTTGCATTCAGGATCCGACTGGATAGCGGGCAACTCAATGGTGGCTGGAGGCCAGTTAAACTGTTCCTCGAAGTGTTCTGTCTATCGTTTTAGTCGTCTCCTTTGTAAGTGAATCGCAGACCCGTCCTCCTTCACTATAGTCTCACTAACTGTTGTTGACCTTTTCCCCCCAGTTTCCTTAATAAGTCGAAGTAACTGTCTACTGTTACCAATCGCCGCCACCTTTTCCATCTCTTTTGCCTTCACTGCCCACCACTGTTCGTAGTCGTTGCGTGTACTTTTTCTCAATCTACTTTTAAGTTGCGCTCGCTCTTCATTGTATTCAGAGCCTACATGGATGCGTTCAGATGCATCCATTAGTTTGAAAGAAGTTGCTGATATTCACTGGCTCTTTTTAGCCACTATTTCGGAGTCGGCTAGGTCTTTAGCGCTTCTTTTACAGCAGACTGGAGATGGTGCCAAGCTTCTTCTGGGTGAGTGATAGTCTTCTGTTCAGATAACTGCCCAGCCAACTTTTCAGTGAACACGGCTTTGGTATTTTCGTTGTCCATCAGTACTCGTAGTGGTTTTATTGCCAAATGTTTTTTATATCCATTGAGATGCAGACATATACCTGCTCTGACAAACGCATGGTCGCTATCGAAACATGTGCTCCAGAAGGAGCGGCAGTCTCCCACCAGTTCTTTCCAGCAATGAATGATAGCAATGTGGTCTATCTGTGTCCATTGCTGAGTTAACAGTGTCTTCCTTTATATCTGAAATTTGTGCTAGCTAAAAATGGGTTCTTATCTGAGCACAGTTGTAGTAGGCGATCACCGTTATCTGTTCATTCAACGGGGACTCTGAAAGTGCCGCCTGAGTGCCTTTCTGCCTCACTCAGTCTACCCACCTGTGCGTTGAAATTACCTCCAACAACCACCATGTCTGAGCTTTCGGTTTTTAGAAGGAGGCTAGACAGTTTTCTGTAGAACTCGTCCTTCACTTCATCCGAACTACAGTCAGGGGGTGCGTAAGCAGAGATTACAAAGAGACAACGGCGAGTCTCACTATTTATTTTAGTTCTCACTGTGCCGTTCATTCGGATAGCTCAGAGGCGACTATCAACTGGGATCCAGTCTAGTAGTGATTTTTCTGCCCTAGTGATTAATGCTATGTCTTCACCTGCAAGACTTCGGGAGCTAGCTGTCGAATCTCCAGAAACTCGAAGGGTGAATTTTGCGGATTCACCAGACTAGTCGTTAGAGGCCAGGTGAATGACTGCACTTGGATCCTGTATGCGTGTCTGACAAACACAGCACACATCCATGCCCCGAGTTGCTAGAGTCTTTGCCAACGAAGCCTGTTGACCAATTTGACGGAGGGTGCAGACACTGATGGTTTCAATGTGTAATTTGGATCGTGGTTTAAGGAGACCAGTGATGCTGTTCTGTGGACTCAGATCGTTGTCGAAGGCTGCAGAGGTAGGAGAAATCGAAGATGATGTGGTATTGTTAATTGAGAGACGTAAAGGGAGATTATAAGGTAATGATGGGGGAGGTGGATAGCAGTCTGAGGAGACTTGAGTGCTGGTGGAGTTGTGAAGGCGGATGACACTTCCCAGCTGCCCACACCGTGGAAGGCTATTTCTTCTTAAGGTACCTGAAAGAGAATTGTGTAACCGCCGAGCCCATCAGACATGTGCTTGAGGCCTGTTACACGTAGCCTTTTTTGTATGATTATTTTGAACGTTTGTATTTTGGGGACCGGATGGTCGAAAAGAAATGACAAATGAACCGACACCGTCGGTCTTGCAGACCGTGTGATATGGTGGAGTGTTATTTTTGGGGCCGACCTTTTCTAACCCTCGCTTCCATTGCTAAGGTGGTATCAGCATGTCACTGCTGGTCATCGAAAGGAAACACCTTACTGTTGTCACACCCCATCCAGCTAGCAGCAGTACAACTTTGCCCTCGGACCTCCATGATAGTGTAGTAATTTACACCATGACGGTAACTGCTTTTCGTCTAACCACTATCCAGCAGACCCTTCTGGTATGGTAGGACCTCGAGGGAACAAGTGTTCCACCAGCATAGCTCGTTGGGTCATTGTGGTATGCAAGCCCGACCACCACGTCAAGGTAGTAGCTATCGGTTGGGGGTAACAGCTATCGGTCATGTTCGAGGTAGGATGGGGCTGAAAGAAGGCTATATGTTTTGGTGGTGTTGTGTTCTCCTAGTTGGATGTTTTAATCGTGGAGCTTTCACTGTCATTCTAGACAATGTCATCAGCAATTTGAACCGATCCACTTATGTGCAAGGTTCTACGTTGATTTTGTCTGTCTGCTTGTCCGACTTCATCATTACAAACTTCAGAAAGAAGTCAGCTATGAGGGTTTCTCCACAAGTGGCTTAGTAGCTTGTCTTGATGACCTCAGGCATGATTGGTTGTTTCTGCTGAAATCTTGTCTTTATCTCATTTTGATTGCTTTTCCTTCTGACATGGTCTTTGACCTCGTTGTTTCTTATGTTTCCTATTGGTTGATAGATTGTGTCAGCGTCAATATGTGTCTTGATCACTGACTGACCTGAATGCCAAGCTTCTAACAATCCTCTGACGTCTTCTATTCAAGATTCCCACATTTTCCTAATCGAATTTATATCTAAAATCGTCTGTGTGTCATGACGCCTCATTTCTAGTTTTTCATGTAGACAGATAGAAAGAGGTTGAGCACTGTGTCCGATATAGGGTTATTCGCAGTTTCTGCAGTTTATTCTGTAGATAACGTTTGGATTGTCTTCCTTTGCTATTGTATCTTTTAACCTGCATGACAGAGAGTGAAGAGATTTTGTTGGTTTGTGAGCTACAGTGATTCCAAATGGCTTCAGTAATCTATTTGCAATCTCTGATACGTTCTTCATGTAAGATAAGATGATCCGTTTGTTGATTTATAGTGATAACTTTTCAGTTAACGGCGATTTAGATAAACATTTTTTGAAGTTCTATGTATACGTGAGTGACCGTATATCGTATTAAAAGCGAACTACGCAGTTACTTAACAAATATAACTACTACTGTAAACACTCAAAAAATAAGGCTTTACTGCTGGTTTAATCTGAATCAAACAATAGTTCTTCATACCAGTTAAGATTTAGTGGTTTACACCTTTTACTACCTATCACAAAGTTATGTGTTCTAAATTCACCATATCAACTTTCATTCGAAGAAATAAATTTCTATTATTACTTCATGGGGATAGATAAGCAGGCAAAATCAATGTAGAAGCTTACCCAAAAGGGTGCAGCTTCAAGTTACTGCAATCGATAGCAGCACGTAAAAAATATGTAAGTGGATAGAAAAAGAATTTCATTAAAGTGGACAAAAGTGTATATGAGGAGAGAAATTAAGAAAAGGTTGGTGAATATGTTCAAACTTCCGAGATTATCAAAGATTAAATACACTTGTTCAATTGTAGGCGATTTTAAGTTGTATAAGTAGGTAAAGTCGTAGTCTATTTTGAAATAGTGTAAACCTGAGGAACTGAACTAAATCAGTACTTTTCTCCATCAATATTATTCTTAGATTTGAGTGTTCTATTATGATAGAGTTGGCAAAATGTATTGAATCTTACTACTGACAACCGTGTGAATTCATTCTATAGGATGCATTTCTACTTGTGTAGTCCTGGCGTAGTATATTAGAACAAATAACAAAATATTTTGTATTATTCCCCAACGTTTCGATCTTGCTAGGAAGATCCTTTTCAATAGTATGAATCTGACACTAAGTTCTGAGGTCAATGTTCAAGTTTTGGTACAGAAAGTGGTGACGTTTACAATCATCCAATCACATAGTGATATGGAGCAAAGATCGATGTAATACAGGTGAGTGAATAAGCAACTCGGTCAGAGAGGTTTTTCCGTTGTGCGAGTAAGATGGAACAAAAATAGGGTAGAGAAATTTTTAAAAAAAATCGAAACGTTGAGTAGTAATACAAAATATTTGTTTATTTTGTTATTTGTTCTAATGTACTACGCCGGGATTACACAAGTAAAAATACATCCTATGCAACGAATCATACTAACTTGGTGCCCAAGTTTTTTCAAACCATCCAGTCCATTGTTGGTCAGGACACCTTCAAACCATGTGAATTATTTCATTAAGATATTGACTGTTTGTCAGCACCTGATTGATTAACTTATCGTAAATAATTTTCATTTTGTAATTCAATTTTGATGTAAGTGAATAATGGGAAGTATTCTTCAGAGTTATATCCTTTTCACTGTTTGTTTCTTGTAGATATCTATGCAGTAACCAAGGTGTGATAACTTCTCAAGAGTCATCCATACCACATCACAATATAATGAATCAATTTCTACAATATATGATATACTGTTTTCAACATTGGCCTCTTGATTTAAGTTTTGAAGTAGTACTTGAAACTTGGCTGTCCAGTGTTCAACCTTGGAGGTATGCCCAATCTCTTCAACCACAGGCTAATTCACGTTGCTCACCTTTGGCACATCGTGATGGACTTATGAATTCACAAATGAATATTGATAATGACTGTTATCCGGAATGGTATGTTTGTAATTTTTAAACGGAATTATTTTAACCACTAATTCACAAACTGTTGATAGCTTGTGAGACTAAATTTTTGTACACTTGATATGTATCTTTCCTATATACTGCGTAAATAAATAGACTGTGGAATTGCCAACAACTAGCCTTTCGGGTCACTTGATTACCAACCAATCATTCTTATGTGTAATTCTAAACAAAACAAACCATAATCAACGAATGTTTAAGCAGCTAATGGACTAAAATGCAAACAGTTTCCATTGATTTGCAAAGTGATTGGTGGTTAGACAAAAGGTTAGTTGTCACCAGGAGCTGAGTTTTGCAAGTCAACTGTCTGAATATAAAAGTTACTGATTCGAATAGGTTTGAAACTCACTTTTGTCGAAGAGTGAATCATTATCGTGTTGTTTACTTGTGTGATTATTTCACATTCATGATGACTGAAGTAATGAACATCGTTTAGACGATCCTCTAATGTTATAAATAATAAATTGGTGGTTTAAGCATATTCTAAAGTGGAATGGATATATACTAGGCCTACCAACAATTGTGAAACTCACTGGAGCACGACTGGATTGAAAGAAATTGGGAGTAAACAGATCAAGACATAGACTGTTGCTATGAGACATGTAATTCGTTTGACTCAGGTCTTTGTGGATCCTACCTCGACTAAGTGATTTCAGTCATAGCCGATTGAATCACTCTACATTTGTGGTAGAGTTGTATACTGTTTATGTGTATGAAACACTCCTGAATTCCTAGGAATCAGTGATTAGTTGAAGTGGTGCCATTTAGGACAAAACTTAACAATATATCTGACAAATGCATCTTTGTGGATTAGAAACGAAAAATATTGACATACATCGATAACTTCTTGTGGCTTTAGGTGTGAATTTTCACCCCGACCTATTGTCCAATAATAATAATAATAATAATAATAATAATAATAATAATAATAATAATAATAATAATAGTCGCTTCATTTCAAACAATATGTATGGTGTAGTATGGAATTCTCAGCGTATAATATTTCAACAAAGTCACTTCCAGAACTTCAAACGAAATGATTATTCCATTTGAATGATGTTATTGATAGCAGTAATGTGAAATAGCCAACTGGTACTGGTTTAGCGTCTGGTCTACATTAGAAATTAAACAGAAAAACGGTTATAAGTTTGGTATTGAAGATTCATTCAGCCAGTGCAAGAATCTAAAATCCAAATTATGTATCTAATGAGTAGGTTGTGAAACATGGCCATTGAAAGTGGAGGATACAAAAAGGCTTCAGGTGTTTGACCACCGTTGCCTTCGTAGTATAGGACGTATTCCGTGGTGTCACCACGTGAGTAATGCAGAAGTTAGGTGTAGAGTTTTGGGGAGAAGAGGTAAGTCAGTTGACGAGGTTGTGAACCTTCATCGACTGAGATGGTTGGGACACGTACTACGTATGCCTAGTCACCGATTGCCTCGTCACACAATGTTGGCTGAAGTGGGTTCAGGCTGGAAAAAGGCCCGAGGTGGCCAGACTAAAACATGGCACCAATGTATGAAGTCTCTGACTGTTGGTTTAGGCCATGTAGGACGATGCAGACTAGGTGGTTGGGGTCCACGGGACAAGAGGAACCAGTGGTTGGAGACCCTAGATGATATGGCTGAGAACCGAAGTCAGTGGCGCAGATGTATACACACATTATCTTCATCTTAATAACGCTATACCGAATCTCACCATTTTGTCACTCCTCTTTCTTTTCTCTTCATACTTTATATTTCTTTCGACTGCATTCACTTATCTTCATCCTTCACCTCACTACCTTTTTACTTGATGTGCTGATATGAGGTGTGGCAACTCGGACCGTTAGGCAGTAATGCCTGGTCCTATGTTGATAATGATGATGATGATGATGATGTATTTTCGCTTACTGTAAGGTCCATTTCCATCTAACTTGGCATTTCTCTTCGTGTGTATATGGTGAAGGTTCAAGCAGGCCTCTGTCAAATCTGACGCTGTAGTCGATGAATGTGTCGGTTACTTATAATTTATTACCACTAGACTAAAAACTGAAGCTTGTGTTTGCCCTTCTGAAAACTATCTCACTACTTGTGAAATGTTATTTTACTATGACACCCTTGTGATTGAGAAATTTTAAAGAATTGTTATCATCTTTTAACCATTTGGCTTCATGTTTTCACGATTCTGGCTTTTGTCTACAGCAACTAATAAATGAATTCCAAATGCATTCATCTATTGAAGTTAAACAGTTCCTTCTGTTGGTCTCCTTTCAAGGTTTCGACTTTCCTAGTTATAACGGATACTACACTGCTCAGCTTTGGATAATTTATTTCATCCGCAGTGTATCACTTACTGACAAAGTCAACATAGAACCTCTTACACAGGTGGAACAGGTCACATTGCTACACTTCACAGTAGTATATAACGTACAGATGGATCGAAACAGAGTGATATCAAAGTGCAAAAAGTTGTGTAAATGTAATTTGAAGATAAAGCTTAGTGCAAATATACAAGCTTTAGGAAATCTCAAGAAGCGAATACATCTGCGCCATTGTGATCGATTTCCAGCCATGTCACTAGGAGTTCTGAACAACTGACTGCTTTCTTCTCGGTGACCCTGACCAGGCAGTACACATCTCACATGACTCAGACTAACAGTTATAGATTTCATAAACTGGTACCACATCTTAGTGTGGCCATCTTGAACCCACTTCCAACCTAATGCAACCACCCTAGCATGTCACATCGAGTAGGTGGTGACTCGGCATGCGCATGTCCGAACGATCTCAGTCGACTACTATTCACATCCTAATCAGTCGAATTCCCTGTCTTGCGTAGCACCCATCACCTGATCTCGACATTGCTCACGTAGTGATTCCACCAAACGCGAGCAGTACTACGAAGACAGCTATAATCAAAATCCTGTGACTACTTAATATCTTCTACTTTCAACGGCCTTGTCTCACAACCACACAACAGGACAGAGTGGACTGCAACGCTGAACTTGTCCTTTAATTAACAGGTAGTCCAGAATCTCGCCAACCAGTTCCAGAAATGATGCAGGTTGGCAAATGCCAAAGGAACCTTATGTACCTGAGTTGAGATTTTGTCAGCAACCAACCCATCCGGATTGAAGCAACTCCCCAAGTATGTGAAGTGGTCACTGTTAACGAGACGATGTCTGTTGCATGTGTTTGCCACTAATTCACCAATTCGCACAGAGTGTATTGTCTTCATTTTATGGCGATTCCTGTCATGAAACTACTCATTAAATCCAGTTGCTAGGTTTAAGATTAGAAATTCACTTGGTATATAAATAAGTTCTTGTACTCTGAAAGTTTTATCGACCTTGTGTTTGAAAACACCATCGTGTCCTGAAAATCTAATCTATTAATGATTATTATTTTTGAACTCCATGATGAAAATCTCAGGCAGAACTTCAAGGTTAGCTGTACATACTCGAACCTCTATCCACTGAGGTGGCTTAATTATGTGTTGCGCATGCCGAAACCGCTGTCTACCTCAGCATGCAATCCTAGAAGTTAGTTTAGGCGGGAAGATGGCTCAGAGTAGCCAGACCGAAACGTGACACCAGTGCATGAAGTCTCTGACTATTGGTCTGGTTCATGTAGGCAGGTGTATCCTACTTGGCTGAGGTCCTTGCGAGAAAAGGGATCAGTGATTAAAGACTGTTGGTGGAATAGTTGGATGTCTATCACAGTGACACAGATGTATCCACTCCTTGATATCTTCTAATGCTTGAATATTCGCACTAATTTTCATCTTCAAATTGTTTATTGCTTCACACAACTGTATGGACTTTGATATCAATCACTCTTTTTCTATCCACTTGTTTTTTGTGTAATAATGTGAAGTTTAGTAACTGTCGTAGTGTCAAGTAAATGTTCATTATAGTTTCTTTTTAAGTTGTTCTGATTTGTTAGTGATTGGATGAGAGGACTGAGATAAATATCTGAATTGTACAGTCTTAGCCTGCTTTCATATCATATCACTATAGTCGCTGGAGATGTAGCTTATTGGCGTTAACAGTCGACTTTCGATTTTGTACGCTTAGGTAACTGGTGAGTATCACAAGCCTTCATATATTAAATACAGTTCTTAACCTGACACAAATTAAGTAGCATTATTATTTATTAGTATAAACATAAGTGAGTTTTATCTATGCGAAAGGGAGGTTATTTCACCTTTTTATATTATAAATCCTATTTATTTATATCAAACACAAATATTACGTTATATTTTCCTCTTACTTGTAGGGTGACATTTGTTGCTCGTCACTACAGTCTCTATGTTGCTCTATTCTTGCTATTTATACAACGGGCTATTCGTACTGATTTATGTGTATGTCGAAATGCGCATATGGTATATCGAGTGGCTAAGGTGTTTTCTCAAGATGGATTCAAAACTTTACTCATGAATACTGAAAGTTAGTGATAGATATTTTATGATTATTTCTCCCTCATACATTTCTCTACTTACTGGGTTCTATTCTGTGTATCATGAATCGGCCCAAGTAGTTGAATAATTTGGATGGCTCAACTATCTGTGTTATTCTGGTTGCGATACACAATTGATGTGTTTAGGTGTTAATACATGCAAAACAACTGTCCGGATTTTAGGCAGTCAACATTAGTGATCTGTTTCATCACATCATATCTATTCGTGTATTTCAGAATTACCTATAGTGTAGCGTAATATTCCTTTTTAAAAATGCTCAAACAAATGTGTAAGTAATTAAACTGGGTGATGATGATTTAAGGTGAAATAAAAATTTGAACCGCGGCCAGATTCGAATCAGCGACCACCAGGTTTCCGGCTGGATGCTCTACCAATTGAGCTACCGAATCCAACCACTGGCCAGATTTTTATTTCACTTCAATCACCAAGGATTATGCCCGATGACTATCATGTGAATTTGTGACACATTACTACCTCTTGATCGTATTCATACTGGTTGCCTAGTCAAGACTTCTCACCCGAATCCAAACCTAACTGAATTAGAGAGGGGGAGCATCATATTGCTTATTACATGGCTATCTGAGATAGCCGTAGTTTGGCCGACTAGTATTTATACTCAGTGATGATTGAAGGTGAAATGAGGGTTTGGACCTCCCCCCTCTCTGATTCAGTTAGATTTGCGTTCAGATGAGAAGTCCTGACTAGGCAACCAGTAATGCGTCACAAATTCACATGATAGTCGTCGGGCATAACCCTTGGTGATTGAAGTGAAATAATAATCTGGCCAGTGGTTGGATTCGGTAGCTCAATTGGTAGAGCATCGGGCCAGTAACCCCAGTGGTTGCTGGTTTGAATCTGGCCGCGATCCGAATTTCCATTTCACCTTCAATCATCATCACTCAGTATATATACTATTCTGCAAAACTGCGGCTATCTCAGATACTCAAATGATAATAAATGTGTGTTATATTCATCTTGATAGTTAACAGTGGAATCCAGGACTCACATTTCGTTCTATTCTTGACTCGTCAGCTAGATGTACCTGCACCCCAATGGGTGATCCTGTTCCCACTGAGACTTGAACCCAGTACCCACCACTTCAAGAGGAGGTTCTTGTGCCCCAATGGCCTAGTGGATAACTCTTTGGCTTTTGAAGCTATGTACAAGTGATTTGGCTAAAAGTTCTCAGGGATTTTTTTTTTATCACACATCATCATCTATGTATCTACGTGTGTTTATTTTGCATATTTGAATAGTGAACTATATTTCAGGTAAAATTAATGTCACATTTTTTGTTTTCTTCCCTCGATAGAACTTCTGTGTGAACAACAGCAACACCAACAACAAGATGATGCTCAATCACCTACACTAATGCACAATCTCATGGCATTAGACCATCAAAGTAAACAGACTGGTTTATGGAATCCTGTAGTCATAAAAGCAGTTGAAAGGATCGTGAATTCTATGATGACTACCAGAACAAAGTAAGCTAGCTTTTATTCTATTTCTCATTTTCTGTAAATTTTATAACTTTTTGCATGAAAGAAATTCTTATAAATGGGTTGTGTCAGGAATAAAGTTGAAATTGAAGAAGTCCCTACCCAACTCAATCAATATGGAGGTAGTTTTTATCACAGGTTGAAATCAACTAGAAAATTCAGACTGTTTCGTTATAGTTTCAGAGTTTTCAACAATGCCTACTACCTGAACGATCACGTATGACACGACTAACTGATACTCCTTTATTGAATATATTTCTCTGGCAGGGAACCCTAGCATCTTTCGGAAATATTTATCCTAGGACTGTCGGATTCCTTTGCGAAAGACTACATCATCTGGTTCATCATTTAGTAGTTTACAAATCCATTGAATTCATTTAGTAAATAGCTGGATTGTAGGCAATTGTTGGATACTTGCGCTGAAGTCCGTTGGCTACCTACATCATTCCGGTGCAGTTGCATTAATTGACTGGTAGAGTAGACAGTGCTTACAACTGTATTAACTATTCAGTACATTTCCAAAGAGTTTTTTTATTTGTGTCTATGTATTCATTCAGAGACTGTTCAACATTAAACCTGAACTTTATGAAAGTGATGAGAAATACTGCAAGATCCTAAGGTATTTCAATCTTAACAATTATTCTGTTAACGTATCCAAGTATATCAGACATTAGGGTGACAGTATAACTAGTCTACATCTTTCTTTGTTGAGGACAGGAAATTAGCATCATTCAGTAAATTTGATTAAATGTTGTACATACACTGATTGGTTTAACTACGAATTTAATTTTTTAAAAAGATGAAACATACTCAGCAACCTTGTACACATTTGTGCAGTAGACAATGAACCACACACCTATTGTTGTGAGGGCTAGTGGTACTACCTGCCCGCTCAAACCTCGATAGGTGAAACGGGGTTCGGACTCGTGACCCATTGGTTGATAGTCATCTCTCTAAACCACTGAGTCATAGCTCCACAAAGAATATCCTATTACATAAAGCTACGGATTCGAATCTCTGAAATAATCTGACTCAATTAGATATTCAGGAAAGAAAGTGGTGCAAATATTAAGATTTCTTTAAAAAAATCAAGCAGTCAGGAATACGGAAGAAGCCTGCAGAATATTGAATGGAAACATTTGATGATGTACACACTCTTAGTTTGTGTTAGTTGGTTGGAAACAATCGACAGGAAGCCCTGGACCTAAGTTTCGTGCTTGTTGATACTCAGCAGCAAGGCGTATCTGTAACCTCGACGGTACTCATATCCAACCTAAGATTCGAACCCGCGTCACCCGGTGTTGTAGCCAGCAATTTTATGAGTGAGCCATTCGGGCTGCGGCTGACCGTCTATAGGACTGAGTTGCATGTATTGATTGGTCACGGGAGAGCAACCGATTCCATGTTGACTAGTCCTGAGTGCAGACTGAATCTTATCGACCATATTTGCAATGTGGCCACTAAGCTAGGAGGTTCAGCATCGCGATGTACATTAGTAGATGTTATTTGGTTGGAGGCAATCGGCAGGAAGCCCTGGACTTAGGTTTCGTACCTCTTGCCACTTGTCAGCAAGGTGTTTCTGCAACCTCCAACCAACTGACATCTACTAATGTGCACCGCTATGCGCAGCCTCATAGCTTGGTGACCACATTGCAAATATGATCGATAGGATTCGGTCTGCACTCAGGACTAGTCAACATGAAATTGGTTGCTCTCCCATGACCAATCAATGCATACTTTTAGTTTAAACCAGGTGTGAAATTACTTTCTGGTATGCTTTAAACTGTTACCAGTAAATACAGGAGGGGAGAAGTGCTTAACATCATCAAACATTACCTCATAGTAGTTCAGATCATCAATAACTAATATCATCATTTGAGTATCTGAGATAGCCTCAGTTTTGCAGAATAGTATATATACTGAGTGATGATGATTGAAGGTGAAATGGAAATTCGGATCGCGGCCAGATTCAAACCAGCAACCACTGGGTTACTGGCCCGATGCTCTACCAATTGAGCTACCGAATCCAACCACTGGCCAGATTATTATTTCACTTCAATCACCAAGGGTTATGCCCGACGACTATCATGTGAATTTGTGACTCATTACTATCTCTTGATCGTATTCATACTGGTTGCCTAGTCAGGACTTCTCATCTGAACGCAAATCTAACTAAATTAGAGAGGGGGAGCTCAGTTGGTAGAGAGAGCACTGGGCCGGAAACCTGGTGGTCGCTGGTTCGAATCTGGCCAAGGTCCAGACTTTCATCTCCCCTTCAATCCATCACCCAATAAGTAATATATAAGATAAATTACCAGTCTTTCAGCTTTGCTGAAGCAACAAATTTTGTAAAATACGATGAATTCATTCATTGTATTTCGTTGTTTTCTTTTGAACTATATTCAGACCATGAAATTATAAGATATAAACATAAGATGAAATACAGTCCAAACAATTCACTTATCAAGAAGATGATAATCCATTGATTAGCGGTAATGAAGGGATTGGTATAGACTAAGGAAGTTTAGTTGAAATAATTTATGACTACTCAAATCGAAGTTATGTGGTCAGAGTTTCAGTTTGCTACATGTGACCTGTGACCAATCAGAAAACGGAATAGAAAGTATTATGTAAGTGTATGTAATGAGTAAATATAAGGTCAAGATTTTCCTAATGTCAAGTTAGTTTAAATCGTGTAGTAAACGTGTGGAGATGAAATAGGAATTAAGATTGTGAAATTTATTGTAGAATGGGGATGAGAATACAGAATTATACTGAATGACAAAACAAATCAATAGCTACCACATAAGTTGAAAGCCAACAATTACCTCTTTTTGGATGCATAAATTCAGTTAAATTCTTCTGATGGCAGTTGCTTCTACGGACCAGAGTAACTTAACCTTGTTTTGTTTGTTAATTATTTTATATGCTTTTAAAATGTGGACGTCGTTTTCTGTGTCCATCAGATGTTTAGTAATGCAACTTTTAAGACACTTCGACTCAACTTATTTGGAATGCGCTCATGAAATCTAATCTCATCCCTCCTCTCTGTCCTTCCAATCAACATCCTCTGATATAAACCATCTGAATTGGTAGATACAGTTTAAGGTGATATGAGCCGGAAACCTGTTGACTTTCGATTGTTTTAATGAACACTTTGTTTTGCATACGGAAACTCATTTCAGTGATTTTTAGTGCAGTTCTACTAGCTTGGTTTGTGAGTTTATCCCCTTGAAAGTCAGATGGAGGGACACAACTTTCTTCTCGAGATTATCAAGTACACTTTCTTTTTGAAGCGAACCAGTTGTGTGAAAATCACCGTTCATCAAGTACTTGTGAGAATTCAGATAATGTCATAAATCTATCCAGACTTATCTGCAGTAGTAGGGTAGTGGGCGTTGCTGATAACAACGGATATAAGTAGTATCTATTGAGAGGGTGGCAAGAATCACAGAGAATTACCAGCAATGGGTAAGGTTTCTGCTAAGAGCAACGCAGGGGACAACACAGGCATATTACAGGGGATGCTGCTGATAAGAATGTATGAAGAGCCGGTCAAGAGCAAATCAAGACAGGAACGGAGAGGAAACGAAGACTGCAAATGGCTGCGTTAGTGCAAGGAGTACCTTATGTAACCATTACCATTCCAATTGTTCTTAATAAACATTCTCTCGTCGAGTTGTCTTCCGTTTCTTCAGTAGTAGTAGTAGCAGCAGTAGTAATCGAAGAAGAATTTTTAATTTATCATCGAAGTACACATTTCATTATGCACCCCTTTGACTCCTGACGGACAAAAAAACGTAGAACATAGTACAGACATGCATCAGTTTAATCTACAACATTTCACAATGGTATACGAAGAACAAGGGGATAGGAAAAGACTGATATCAGAGTAAACAAAGTTGTGTGTGAGAATAAACAATTTGAAAATAACGGTTAGTGCGAACATTCAGGTTTTAAAAGACGTTAAGTAGTGAATACATCTGTGCCATTGTGACCAATTTTCAGGCATGTCAACAAAAGTCCTCAACCACTGATTTCTACCGTCTCATTGATCCCAATCAGACAGTCTACATCTCCGTACATGTTTCAGACCAACAGTCAGAGACTTCATGCACTAGTGCCAAGTCTTAGTCTGGTCACTTTGAACCCTCTTCCAATTTAATGCAACTACGGCTGGCATTGTCCGTACAGTATATGTCCAAACAATATCAACCGATGAATGTTCACAACCTCACATTCAATCAACTTGTCTGTCTTGCCTAGTTACCTTCGCCTGACCTCATCAGTGCTCACATGGTGATGTGATCCCATCAAACGCGAGCAATGCTACGAAGAAACGTGTGATCAAAGGCTTGTAAACTTTTACTCCGAATGTTTCCTGGGGAGGGGGAATTACTGTCAGATTCTGAGAATTGTTATATTTTGTTCTATCAGTAGTATACTACTATCTACTAGGTGTAGTAGCCTGCAGGGTTTATAATGTTTTAATGAGTAAGCCTAACGAAATTGATTTGTATTTCTTTGCATTTTGAGTGAAGGCAGTTAGCTGGTTGGTTGTACGCATATTTTGTCTCGCCTGCATGGACAATGATATTCACCTTGGCAGATGAGTATTTAGTAAAATTTTGTCCTGTCCTATATCTGTTGTCATCAGAATATGCATCTGCTGATTTATGCTTGCTAATACAGCACATTGTATATCCCATCTTGGTTGTATTGTGTTCTCTGAGCTGGGTTGTTTAATCGTGAAGCTTTCATCGTCTTCCTAGACGACATCATCGGCACTAACTTCAGTATGAAGTGAGCTGTCAATATCTCTCCGTCAGTGATTTAGTAGCTTGCCTTGACGAAGTGGTCTGTGATTGGTTGTTTCCTTTGATTGTTACGTCATTGAGTATATAGATTTTCCTGCTGGCTGTCCCTCTGCTTTACCTCTGACTCACGACACAACACATGATAGCGTTGACAACTGCAATTGAGAA